GTATGAAAAACTACGATATCAAGATAGCTGTTGTAGACTCAGTGAAGTGTGTGCTAGTGTGTGTGTGTGTGTGTGTGTGTGTGTGTGTGTAAGTTCAAATATTATAATACATTTACTGCTGAAAGTTATTACACGTATATTTATTGTCTGTTAAACTCATTGACTATTTTCGCAGTTTAGTACACAGCCAATATAAATTTATCCTAGCCTTCCGCAGCGCCTCCCTTATTAGACGCGTAGCAAACGTCAGTTCAGTGTTCAATGTGGCGCCAACCATGTTCAACATAGCAACACGTGACAATAACATTGCCCAGAGGCGCTCCCTATTCTGGGCGGTCAGAGCCATCGTCCGCACCGGTGCACCGTATAGGGCCATTGACCGGACAAGCCCCCTGTACAGCCGTCTTGACGCGAATCAGGGTCCATTCAAATTGGGTAAAAGTCCGACCAGCTTTAGAGCAAGCTGTCGGAAGTGCACGTTAAAGAGCCACCTCCCGTTAATTCGGGCCTTAACCGGTACGAGAACCGAGTTGATCACGATTGAGGGGCCAGAGTGTGGACCACGATGGGACCCATGAAATAAGAGGGCCTCCGTCCTTTACAGGGCCTCCCGTAAGACTAGCGCCTCAGTGATGTCTGTTGTTCTGAGTCTGGGTGCTCTATGTGTCGTTTCATACATGTTTGTAAAGTCACCCGCGACACAGGATATATTCCTAGTTCGGGAGTTGTCTACTTAAAAAAAATGCGCCTGACCACCAGAGAGATACTAACTTTTAAACTTTCGCGTTCCATGATAATTAATATTATTTAACGGGAATTAACGCGATCTCTTATTTAGGGTATTACATACCTTTGGTTTGCCTGACGTACAACAATGAACATCTTGGCTAAAGGTATGAACTTCGCTCCGACACCTAAACGAATACCGTTCGAGAATGTAATCAGTAGCGTCGAGGAATCGATTACACGGAACAAAGTACCGCCCGGCGATGCCGATATCCTAAGACAGGACGTTGCGGTAATATTACGTCGGTCAAAGCTTCCGGCTAGTAATATCACTATCGAAGAGCGTCAAGCACTAAAAAACATTAGGGATAACCAGGATATTTTAGTGCTTAAGGCCGACAAGGGAAACGCTACCGTAGTGATGAATACAACTGATTACAAAAGCAAAATACTTGAACTGTTGAGTGATAATAAGGTTTATAAACCGGTAACATACAACCCCACGGCCAGAGTAACGCGAAAAATGAGGTTTACATATGAAATGGAGACGGACAGGTCGTTGTCCTTCTTAGATGTTAAAGTAGCCGTGAGATGGGATGGGTCCTTGTCACACTGTGTGTACCGTAAACCTACTCATACGGACAGATACCTACACGCCACGTCTCATCATCACCCCCGGCACTTGCAATCTGTTATGACTTCACTCAAAAACAGAGCTTACGATCTCTGTGACCCTGAACATGTTTTAGCTCCTGTTCTAAAACAGGAGCTAAAACATGTTCAGGAGGTACTCAAAGGTAACGGATATCAAGTGAAAGGAGGACGGAAGCAACCGAAAATAAGAGTGAACAGAAGTGAACAGGCAAATTGCCTATATGCCTTATGTCAAGGGAGTTACGGACAAGATCGGGTCTGTACTAAAGAAATATTCCATTCCGACAGTATACACACCAGGCATAAAGGTTCACAACATCGTCGGCACACCGAAGGATATATTGCCACTACAAACTCCGGGTGTTTATAAAATAGACTGCAGCTGCGGAAGCTCATACATAGGCCAAACTAAGCGGACTGTTGCAGAAAGGGTCAAAGAGCATATCGCTGCTGTGAAGAACCGACAGACGAGCAAATCAGCGATTGCAGAACATGCACTCGATGCAGGCATCAACCACTGGATTCAATTTCACCGCACGCAAGTCCTCTCCACCGAACGTCACTTTTACTCAAGAGTTGTACGTGAAGCGATTGAGATTAAAAAGCATAAAACTTTCAATCGGGAAGATGGTTTTAAATTATCTACAGCGTGGAATCCAGTGTTAAAAAACATACCACCTCGCTTTTCTGCGCAATCGGTTAAACACCAGAATAGGGACTCATCGGTTTGCTTACAGAACAGGGACACTGTTAGTGTGGTATGTGACGGTACATGGCGACACAAAAACAATATCGAAAATGTGCGGGTAGATGAAGAGCCTTCTACTTCACGGATTCGACGACGGAGGGCGTGCGCCGATGAGCCAGTCAGCCTGTGACACCGGTCGGTGCAACCTGGTCGAAACGTCAGGCAAACCAAAGGTATGTAATACCCTAAATAAGAGATCGCGTGAATTCCCGTTAAATAATATTAATCACCAGAGAGATACCCCTGATGGCCAGGCGCGCCGCCTCCTGAAATCCACCCTTGTTAGCCCCGTCGTTTCTGTATTTCGGTAAATATGTAAATCGCCATATAAATAAAACACCCTGAGGATTATTTTATCATCAATGTAAGTTGCTCACTCCCTTTTAGTAAGTACTGTCATTATTTATTTATACATATTTAAAAATGCGATGGTATCATGAAAGCAAATTATTCACTTTGTATACGTATCTGATGCTTCATAGTTTGATTTAACTATACAATAATAACTACACTAAGAAAACTTGTTCAATTAATTTATTAGTCATGCCAATGAATAAACATTAAAAAAAAGAAAAACACAAAAATAAAAACGGTTATCAAAATTAAAATTAATTACAAAAATCGGTTGTTATGGGTAAGATTTCAAATGGAAGTCATCACTGGCCCGCCATCGCATGATTATATGTTTGTCTTTGTCAAATCTTAGCGACGGTATTGTTCTTGCGACGCGTGTAAGTGACACATATATGTACGAGTATGTTTACTTTCAAATGTCTAATGGTTTCAAAGCTACGTCGTCACAGTTCAATACTGATTACACTTTTTTCGACGTGTGGTAACGAAGTTTGCTTCTCTAGTTGTTTAACTCATTGGTTTTAGTATTGTTACGAGTTCATGAATACCCCGATTTATGCACGAAATAGACCATTTCTTTAATTCAGAAGTGACAATAATTGTCAATGGTATTCGATTATACTTTTTGCTATTTTCTACACTTTGCTTCCTGGGAGAGACATGCCTCGGCTCAAACGGGCCGGCTCGACTTGAGTATACCACGACCTCACAGAAAACCGGTGTTAACCTATTATTTCGTTTTTTTTCACTGATTGCACGGATAGCGCAGTCGCGTCGCCACTTCCTGCTGCGCTGATTATTATGGGTTCTGATCCCCACATGAGTGTGTGATCCACAAATAGTTGTTCTGAGTATGGGTGTTCTTTGTGTCCATTTCATGTATGTTTATAAGTCCCACACAACATTGATTCCTAATGTGGGAGTTGTCTTTTTACACTAACTTTTTTTTATACTAACGAGTGAGGTCAAAGCCCAAACCCATTCTTCTGTTACTTCTAAAGGACTCAAAGGGCGGCAGCACGCATGTCTTGTGATTCTTGAAGGTGTCCATGGATAACGGTAGTTACTTACCATCAGGTGACCTCTATGGTTGGCAAATAGTCAGTCTATAGTCTGAAATTGTCAATTGTCAGTTTTTAAACGCAGTTCCGCTACGCGTTGTGTGTTTTCCAACACTTCTTGCTATAGTTACAGACGTGTATTAACTCTTTCTAATTTTTTAAGTAATTGTTATTATTTCCTAAATTTTTATACGTTTTGAACTCTCTTATCCCAGATGCACTTCTATGCAGAGGACTATCCGTCTCAGAATAATTCTTTGCATAGAATGTGTGAAAAATATAATGCTATTTACTCACAGGTAGACATGTTTCACGACCATTGTGGTGGCCACTTTCCATCAGGTGAAACGTCTGGTCTTTCCCTCTCTTCCATAAAAAAAAAACACAGAAATCGAGCTTAAGGTATGTGTATGCTGAGTGTCCATCCAAATATGCTGAGTGTCCATCCAAATATGCTGAGTGTCCATCCAAATATGCTGAGTATCCATCCAAATTTCTGATACACGACGCAAGTGTGGCTGCCTTGCCTAGTCACACATTTGACACGTGAGCGCCAGTGTCGCTGTGCGTGTGCCGCTGAGGTGAATGCCACGTAGCCAGTGCGGCAACACTGGCTACGTGGCATTCATCATTCATTGTGCGTGACATGTGACATGACACATTCGAAACGGCATGTTTTTAGCACAGGGTTGCCATATGTATTTTTTAATTTATTTTGTCTATCCTCATATAAATTGTTTGTCGTGTATCTTAGAAATAAAACATGTTTTCTTTTTTTCTTCTTTCTTATACTAAGGGGTATATAATACCTTAAGCACGATCGGGGTCTCCCAACCTTTGGTCGGAGGTTTGTACAACCGACCAAAGTTTGGGAAACACTGACAGTAAACAAGACCTATAAGTGAGAACTGTTCCTAGTTAATCTAATAGGTATATAATCAATGCGTGGGCGTTTATATGGCGTGACAAATAAACAAACTTTCACATTTATAATGTTAGTAGATTTCGCTCGCGGCTTTAGATTCCGGTTCTGAATGCCTATGTCTAATCAACGATACAATTTATCTTCAATCTAATTTGCATCTTAATCAGTTCAGCGGTTGGGTCTATATTGAATAACAATGAATGGTGGAGCGGTGTGTCTTAAGAGAACCGGCAAAAATATACGGTTCTAAAATCAGAGGGATCTCGAAACAGCTTATATTAAGACATCCGGACCCCTTGTAGTGCTTGTTAGCCAAATCGCGGGCATCGCCTTCAAGTAAAACCTTTTTGTCGGATGACGTCCACATACATGCGAACATCGGCCCTTCGCGGCTGGCTATTATGGTGGGTCTAAGGGAATACCCGTTCTGTCCACCCGCGACCACACACAGGGCGGCATGAGCCGTCATGCCGCCCTGAGGCCGGCATGAGGAGTCTGAGGTTAGCATTAAATAAGTCTTTGTTTCCCACAGATTATCGCAACCCAGCGTGCTCTCGCCTCTTGTACGATGCTGAACTGCCTTCAGCGTCTGTCATACTGATCTTCCATAACGAGCCGTACTCCGTGGTGATAAGGACTATATGGAGCGTGGTGAACAGCGCCAGGCGCTCCAACGAGTGGTTCAAGCACGCCAACTATGTAGACAAGCAGACCGGCAGGGTTACTAAGATAGGTAAGTTAAAGGTCAAGTAGAGTATTTAAGATATATGGTTTCCGCACAAGAGACTGAAATAGCGCTACTTTAAGTGTTTCGGTTGAATGTTGGTAAATTTAGACGTTTTTTGGCGAAAACCCTTCCGGGTATTTTTAAATGGAGCGTAACGATTTTTTCACGCTTAGATTAATCCAAAGATCTTCGGTAAATATATGTTGTATTAAGTCTAAACAAAAGATTATTTTGACGGGCCTGTTGGTCGAGTGGTTAGTGCCCCTGACTGCTAAGCCGGAGGTCGTGGGTTCGATTCCCACCCAGGACAAATATTGTGTGATGAGCATGATCATTTGTTCTGTGTCTGGGTGTAATTTATCTATAATATGTATGTATTTAAAAATATATAAGTATGTTTATCAGCAGTCTGGTCACCATAGCACAGGCTCTGCCTAGTTTGGGATCAGACAGCCGTGTGTGAAATGTGTGAGGTATATTATTATATTATTATTATTAATATGTTTACTCTTTGCATCGATATTTCATATATAATATTTGCGGATTTTGGAGATCAAGTAAAAATTTCAAATGTTGTCTAAAGTTTATAAATTGACAACAGCGATTCAACTTTTGTCTTGCTACAATTAGAAATATCTAGTTGAAAACTGGCTAAAAATAAAATGTAGATTATAAAAAATAAAGCACTACAGGAATAAGAATATATTTCCCTTAAAACGCACCTAAACATTTTAAATGGGGGGTCACTTAGACCCCCTCCGCATACTTTATACATAACTTTAACCAAATATTGTCTAAATCTGATACTATACATATAAGAACGAAATTTTTTAATCAGTTTCCCTTCTATCAGGTTCCACTGGCCAAGATCCCAATTCTCCCTTCGTGTACCTGAAGGAGATCATCCTGGTGGACGACAACTCAACGTTACCAGAGCTGAAGGGGAAATTGAGCCATTATATCAGGACGCGATTGCCGCCAGATCTAATACGAATTCTCCGTCTCCCGGACCGGTGAGTCACCAGTACCGATGTGTTTTAGACTTCAATGCCACCCACTCTCTCGTTTCTGTGACGAATTTCAGGCGCTTAAGAGTGCTTTGGTCGATATGTATTCAATTCGATTTATATTTAATTTTATGGATAGTTATACTCGTTGTGTAAGGCAGTCCCTTACTGTTGAACTATTTATTCTGTTATTATGTAGATTTTAATTCATGGCAATAGCTGAAGAGTGGACAATGAGACCAAAAGATTGTGGCTCAGATTGTAGGATGTCCATTAATAAGTACGGTTAGATACCCTGCCATTATGCGCTTTCTGGAAATTTTTGCCTCGCACAACCAACCTGTCTGACTGCTTCGATGGTGCAGTAGTTACGTATGCGACTGCTGTGCTGAGGTCTCGAGTTCCATTCCCGAATCGGACCAAATCTTTGTGTGATCTGCAAATATTTGTTTCGAAGTTTTGGTGTTTCTTATGTATAAAAAAAATATCTATGTTTTCACAAAAAAAGTATATAAGTATTCTATCAGTCAATCTAGCTTTCATAGTACAAGCTCTGCTTAGTTTGAAACTAGATAGCGTTGTGTGTCAGATCCTAATCTAAAAAAAAACCAGTGGAACAAATTATCGCCTGCGTGCGGTATTTCCCGGTCGATATGACCTTCAAGAAAATACTTACTGCCGCCTCTAAGGTTGGCACGGGTTGAGTTGCTATTGTGCATGAGCGCCGGTAGCTGTCGACGGGTGACCCGCCTAATCGATTGTCCCTTTTTCTTTTTTTTTTGTTGTCCTGCTCCTCGGGGACTCAGGAGCCAGGAGTATGTGGTGATTCCACTAAAATCCACACCGAGGTCGGCCTCAGGTGTCCTACTCTAGCAGGAGCCGGACCATATTATTTCAGGTCCTTCCCGAATTGACACCATGCCCAATCAGGCCCTATCCCAGGGGAAAACACTATCTCCCTCAATCGCTGCGTGGCGGCCCGATTGCATCTTAATGTAATCAGGCTGCCATTCAAGCCGCTAATCGATTGCCCCCATGTCATACAAAAAGCCTTATAAAGATGATAAGTCGTCAGTGTCGGCCTTAACTGGTCTTCTTGGCAGTCGTTGAGGGAGGGCTATGTCCAGCAGTGAACGTAATATAGCTGAAATATAGTATCAAAGTCGGGCTTTCAGATATGACGAGCAATATGACTTAGTTAGTCGGTGAAATTGTGTACATGTCTTCATTACCGAGTCTTCTATGACTTAGTTAGTCGGTGAAATTGTGAACATGTCTTCATTACCGAGTCTTCTATGACTTAGTTAGTCGGTGAAATTGTGAACATGTCTTCATTACCTAGTCTTCTATGACTTAGTTAGTCGGTGAAATTGTGAACATGTCTTCATTACCTAGTCTTCTATGACTTAGTTAGTCGGTGAAATTGTGAACATGTCTTTATTACCGAGTCTTCTATGACTTAGTTGGTCGGTGAAATTGTGAACATGTCTTCATTACCGATTCTTCTATGACTTAGTTAGTCGGTGAAATTGTGAACATGTCTTCATTACCGAGTCTTCTATGACTTAGTTAGTTGGTGAAATTGTGAACATGTCTTCATTACCGAGTCTTCTATGACTTAGTCGGTGTAAAATCTTAATCTTCTTAGGTTGTTTTTTGATTATTCGAAGAGATTGTGTTGTTTAAGTGAGAAATGTTAGTGTATGTTTAAAATTGGTTTTAAGTCTTTGACTGACTGTCTTTAGATTAAGTAACTTAATATTGTCCGTTTTACAGGTGAAATTTTATTTTTTTCAGAATCTCTTAATATTTCTTGTAATTTTTCAGTGATATACTTTTTTCATATTAATTATATAGAACAATGTACTTTAAAAACAATAGTCGTAAGATTTTAATTTCACTGTATTACCGAACACCAAACATTTAATTATTTTAGATTATGTCCATTGAAAGAATGGTTATCTTCTGTTATAGTATTATAATTATCCCCAATACTTACTAACCAAAAGGGCGTACGTCTCCGACCGTGTCACGCAAAATTCAACTCTAACTTACATAATTAATGTTTTTGGTATATATATTTTCGTCGTGACAACTAACTGCATACATAGGACATCCGTCTTTCTTCGTTCTGCTAATATTAGAACGAATATGCTGCGTTAATATCGATATTAATACATACAAAACTTCCAAATTAAAACTAACATTTATTTGAATAATATTGTTTTTAGACTTCCAAGTATTTTAATGTCTAATAATAGGAAATTGAGACTCCTCAACTAATCTGTTGAGGAAATAGTCTTCTTGTGACGCTTTGAGTTGCAAATAGCCACTCAGGGAGCATCCATTAATTATGTAAGAGAATCAGGGAGAAGGGAGGTGGGGAGTTTTCACTTAGGGAGGGGGTCTCGGCAAATATTATGTAAATTATACTCCTCAAATAACAACGTACTGCATTAGTATCTCGAGTGTAGAGTGACTCTTGAAATTCTCTCATGTACATTTATAAAAAATATAATAACAGGAGATTAAAGACAAATATTCGACACAGGAAAGGTCTGACGCAAGCCCGGATGGCCGGCGCCAGGGTAGCCACCGGTTCCGTTCTAATATTCCTGGACTCCCACTGTGAATGTGTCCGGGACTGGCTTCGGCCGCTCCTCCAGAGAATCAAGGACAAAAGGGCCACTGTGCCCACCCCTCTCATTGACGTCATAGAACAGGATAACTTCATGTACCAGCCTGGAAATCCTGACACCTTCGAGGTGGGATAGAAGTTGTCATTAGGGATCAACAGTAAAATAAATATCAAAAGTACCATAGTTATTGTTAGTTTACATTAATATGGGATAGTCTAAACTTGTACCGACTAATATGTTAGACGTCTAACTAATTAGTCGAATTTTTACTCAAATCTACTAATTAGCTGATGTGTTATATTAAATAATATAAATCTGTTCATAATTAGAAAAGGAATATTTTATGTTATAAATTTGTTTCAGTGTCAATAACTTGATTTCTTTATTGATTGTTTTTTTTAATTTAATGGCCTTAAAATAAATAAATTCTATAACTTAACTAGCTGACCCGGCAAACGTTACGTTACGTACGCAGAAAGCTGAAATGTTTAAAAAATATGTAATATAAAGTTATATAGTGTATATGTCAACCTGTAATGGTACAAGGGTCTAAAGATTGTAGTTTTAGATACACTTACCAACGAACTAAGTCAGAAAACTTAAAACAGTCAAAATTCAATGGGCGCTGCCAAGCGATCTCTAATTATACATATCGACTAGTCGGTTTGAAAATAGTCTATGTACTCAGATGGACTCTAACGCAATAGTCGGTACATTTATATAATGGCAATTAGATTATTTTCTTTTGTTATTGGAATACATAACATAATAGTAAAAAAATCTAGAAGTGGAGGATTAGTGTGGATGTTTCTCAAGTAGAGTATTTCATCTTCAAAGTACTTTGTTGTATATTAGGCGTAGTTATAGAGCTGTCTAGTTAGTTGCTATACTACACATTATTATTTCTTATTTAATTTTCTTCTTTAATGTAGATACGCTCATTTTTAATATTCATCAGTTATGTCGTTTTAATAAAACTATAATAAAACAAAAATAATTGGTAGCGAGTTTAGTAGTACGTATAGTAATAGTTGACATCGAAATAATATCCGGGCAACATGTAACAAATAGAAATATAAAACATTAATACAAACTGAGATAGTCGTCCTTTTTCTGAAGTCAAGATAATGTATTAATGATAAAGCATAAAAAAACCCCTAATACCTAGATCCAGAGATTGAAACAAAATCGTTGTAGATGAAACCATGTTGTTCGTGTACAGATGTTGTTCGTGTTCTTTAAACTGTAGATGAATCAAACGAAACTTTGTCTTATAGGTTTTTGAGCTTACTTTTGCAGGTACTTCACATTTATAGGAAATTAAAAATTGAAAATATAAGGTGGATTTTAAAATTTCTTGCTAAAACCATAGTAGGCTCATCACTGATTGGCTGTCACAATCCCTTTCAAAGAGATAATATATATAAATTGTGGTAGACTGACAGCCAATCAGTGAAGAGTGGAGAGAGATGCAAGACCCGCACAATGTTTTTTCTCTCTCTAACGCTGTTAAGGTACAGGCTGACATACGGCTAGCTGCTTCTAGTTATATATTATCTATATTTCTAAAACACTTCCATGTGTTTGATTATGTCACTTACCGACTAACTGACAGTGCTCCACAGAGTAAAAAATTATTGAAGCTATGTGACAATTAGTTTTTTCAGGTTCCAAGAAATTATCGTTTCGTTCGAAAGCTTGGAACCCGATTGGTCAGGGTGCGGGGCTTGATCGATGCGTCACTATTTTCTTAACGCGAATAGTTACTTTTTCAATCATGAAACGAATCAATTTTAAAACAGTTACCTACAACGTAATATGAATTTATAATTAATGTCAGCGTCCATCTTTCAGGAGTTTTTAGGTTGTGTAAAGATGCTTGGTAGTGATTAACTAATATTTTACCGTGGAAGAACCATAATTCGGCACATTCGGGCCGGCTCGACTAGAGTCATACCAAGACCTTACAGAAAACCAGTGTTCAGCATTTTTTTCGTTGCATTTCTTCGAGTAAGTGAGTCTAGCGGAGACCTAACCTCTACTCCTAATACGGGAGCGGGAGACGGGGTTCTTAACAGGCGGCGATAGTCACTTAACATCAAGTGATCCATCTGCTTGTTTGCCATATAAAAAACCTAACCAACCAATGTTGCTTATCAAAAACTTGTCAACTCCTACAGTAAGAATTTCTACGTAAACCTTCAGGATAGGCCTGATCCGTGCCAAAACCGAAGGAGCTAGAAACGCGACGTCCGACGTTCTGATATTCCTGGACTCCCATTGCGAGACGAATCGAGACTGGCTGCGCCCCCTCCTCCAGAGGATCAAAGAGAGTAACTCCTCTGTGTTGACGCCAGTGATTGACATCATATTTTTGGAAACATTTGAATACATGCCGTCTATGCAAGTGGTAGTACAATTTTGAACCCTGTGTCTGTGTCTAAATCTTGCAGTTCAGAACTTGGTTTTGATCTTACAGTGTCGTAGTTTTGCACTTTGTAAATTTAACCATTATTGTGTATGAAATAAGATGTTTTTATATGTTACGTGTTGTGTTTAACGGAGTTCTTAAATGTAATGTGTAAAAAAATATTTTTGTGTTTTAGTAGTGACCATTGTGTGTCTAGTGGAAGTTAAAGTTAGATACTGAAATTGTTGCTGTAATTAAATATTCTGTGCTGATATTAATTATGTTTAAAAGAAGTTTAAAATGTGTGTAAATCGTGATAAATTAAACTAAGCTATATGCTTCGCTCGTTAATGTCTCATAGCTTTCAGTAGAATAAAGAAAAGGAAGAAGATAAAGCGATAAGAGAAGAAATAGCTCTTTCTGGTCTAGAACCTTCTAGACTGGGAAATAAACTTTATGTTTAACAAGCGAAAAATACATCGAATAAGGAATTTTCTTACAGTCCAAAGGTAGGCACACTGCTCCAAAATCCGAAACATACAGGCAAAGAAGCACCATCATATCATCAAAGACCGAACAGCTTCATACCGTTATATAACTTAAAATCTTTATAGTTACATCTTTGTACTCTACAGCAATACCCTTTCTTACTTAGACACGCGATTGATAACTTAAAATCCACCTAACCTTTTATAATTCAATAAATCCTCAGTACTTAAATTTCTGCTAGAAGTTTTGGTTAAATAGACACATTATCACAGAAATGTTCCTGATAATCACATCATCCTTTGTTTTTTCATCTATTTCCACCAAAATTTACCAGAGACACATAAATGAGTGGAGTTAACAATGTCTCGTATGCCGTGACAGTGTCGGCCTGACGAGAGCGCGGCTTGCCGGCGCACGTTACGCCAGCGGTGACGTGATCGTCTTCCTGGACTCCCACTGCGAGGTCCAGCCGGACTGGCTGCGGCCTCTGCTCTCCGCCATCAAGGAGCGCCCTCACGCCGTCGTAGTACCCATCATTGACGTCATCGAGACAAAAACTTTCTACTACAGCGTTTCGGATCCCAGAACCTTCCAGGTTGGCTGTGTGTAGCGGCAGATGTTGGTTTTGCTTTGTGCCATTCACTTGCCAATTATTATCGCTATTTTATTGGTTATTTTCTGCTTTGCACCTTCCCGCGACCTTAGATCAACATACATTTTTTATTTAGCCTATATCTTAAATTCAATATTTAATCTTCTAACTCTTAATGTAATATTTAACCCAAGTTATTTTACTATCATATCGATATATTAAATATTTAAATAGTTGAGGAGGCAGCATGCTGTCGCGCTGAAATGCGTTACGATGTCGGAAAAAATATGACATGGGTAATCATGGTCAAGGGCTTTGACTGACTTCTTTTGAAGTCGACTACTTCTATTGATGATGCGACTAAGAAAGGACCATAGTCGCGACTATATATATACCTGTATCATTGTATAAGCCACAACGGCAGGAATGCCCATTTACACGCTATTATAATCAAAAATGACCTTCGACTGAAAACGTTGTATAGCTGTAACGTAATTTGTAGTGCAAACAATTATATGTAAATGATACACACGAAATATCTTTCTTTATACAAAGAACATTGATTGAGTATTACAATATACCCGTAATAAAGTCATACGTCCCAAAAACCCATAGGATTTGGCACCCTTTGATGATGCTGCGCTTTTGGTGTATGCAAAACTGCTTAATATTGTTTGCGCTTACGACAAAGTTTACCGTTTCAATGACACGATCAGGAGCCATAGTTATACTTGCGTAAAAAGCCAAGCTGAAAAGATTTAGCTTGTCACTTAAACAAAAATGTTTGCACATGATATTGGTCCAGTATTTTAAGCCAACATTTGCCACACACGTTCTGCGAACTACAGCACTCGATGCTCTCGCTCTACTCTTCTCTTCCGTGCTTCACTATTGACGCTCTTGGGTTTTTGATTTTCTTTTGTCGGACTTCTTCAAAATGACCTACTTCCAAGGCTACTGTCTTTTCTGATCGAAATATTCTTTTTAGGGTATCAGCTCCGACCGGCCCTAGAAATTCTGACACCCAGAATCATTCTAGGGCTAACTTTTCGCTCTGGGATACCTTGAAAGATCCTGGCAGATTCGAAATTCTAAAGGCAAAATCTGGCTTGGATTAATTTTTCTATCGAGCACGACATACTATTTTGGCAGACACGAACAGCATAACGTGGCTAAATCTGTCTCTTCTAACTGCTTAAAATGTGTGAGTTTTGAAGCACTTTTTTTTACGTATCACGATATATTTAGAAATGAAATAAAAGCACTCTTGATTTTTTTAATTTATAAACTTGTAAAATGCACCTTTTTTTTATAAATTCTAGTTAATATTTGGGTGTTCTGTTTGTTTACTTGCGTCGATGATTTGTCGCGCGAATGTTTTTGCGCTTAGTATGTCACATTACTCAAATGTTTTGTCGAAAGAAATGGCCGCGGATGTTCTAGAATGTGGTTTGTTTGTAAATTAAACTATGAATTAATGAAATTGTTAACACCTTGTCCATACCTGTATTCCTTAGGAAGTAGGCAAATGAAACGTGTTGCCAACTGTAATTTTAACCTGCTTCCACAATAGGGGGCGCGCCTATTGCTGACTCGTCTATCTACCGTGCACTTCAAGGATTAAATGGGAAAGAAAGTTGTGGGTATATGGAAAGGAAATGTAGATAAGATGGGAAGACAATGGTAGGAAATTGATATTGATTATACGGTTGAGTTGGGGCGCGCCAGCAGTAGAACGAGTAGCATACCAGGGTGCATACCTGCTGTCGCCAGAAACTCCTAGCCATCAAACTGATCTTGCACATAGTGATCGTAAGAAAACAAAATTAATAATTATATTAACGGATGGAGTAGTGGTTTAAGCGGTCGCCACGCCGGCTCCTATTACGCTGAGTGTTGTGGGTTCCATCGCCACATGAGACACTACTTTGTGCAATCCACAAATTGTTGTTATAAGTCTGGGCGTTCTTTGTGTCCGTTTTATGTATGTTTGTAAAGTCCCCCGGGACACAGGATACATTTCTCATTCGGAGTTGACATTTTTAAAAGATAATAAAATAAAATAAATTGACTGCACGGATGGCGTAGTGGTTTAAGCGGTCGCCACGCCGCTTCCTACTACGCCGAGTGTTGTGGGTTCAAACCCCACATGGGACGACACTTTGTGTGATCCACAAATTGTTGTTCTGAGTCTGGGTGTTCTTTGTGTCCGTTTCATGTATGTTTGTAAAGTCCCCCGCGACACAGGATACATTTCTAATTCGGAGTTGTCATTTGAAAAGATAAGAAAGATATAGAATATTAGTTTATAGCTGTGATCTTACTTCTTTCATAACCTTAATATCTTTTCTGATTCGAAAGGACCCAGGACCCTTCTTTCTGTGAAATCTATCAAGGTATATAATCTTTAATGTGTCTAACTTAAAACACAAATTTATAAAAAAGAAACTGAACTGAAGTTGGTCTTGTGCAGAACACAGTAGAGATAAAAAAGAGACATTTTTACAGACGCATCTCTGTACACTAAAATACTCTCAAACTATTTAATTAAAGCATTATTAATAACACATTTGATGACTATGCGATTAACGTTAACGGTAATGGACGCATATTTAGGATATGTAAAACAATACCTTAATACTGCCTGAACTATCAAATTAAAAAAAAAACTATTAGTATAAAGCTGAGAGTTTGTTTGTTTGCTTCAACGCGCTAATCTCAGGAACTACTTGTCCGATTTGAAAAATTCTTTCAATGTTAGATAGCCCATTTATCGAGGAAGGCTATATATCATCACGCTAAGATCAATAGGAGCGGAGCACCAATGAAGAATGTTGCAAAAACGGGGAAAACTTTATTCCTTTTAAAAGACGCTGACGAAATTGCGCGAGTCAGCTAGTGTATAATAAAACAAAAATACATGATATCAATTCAGTAAAGTTGTAAAACAATAACATTACTCAATATTTTATAGCATTAGGTAATATTACTCAAACATTTTCTCTGCTTCGGAAACTGTACTGTTTTTATATCTTTTTTTCTGTACCTATAATCATAACTTTTGTATTTTTGTGTTAACATAACTGTACATATTCATCACTCTAGCTTATTCTCACATATTTCTGTGTTGTATTTCAATAACATAGAACACATAGCTTATTTAAAAAAATTATACTGTCAGGTGTAGTGTTAAATTTAAACTCGGGTGTTTTTTTCAAATAAGTATACAAATTTCTGTACTGTTAGTTGAATCAGGTGTATCGTTGAATATACATACGGGTGTAGACTTTGATATAGAATCGGGTGTAGTGTTGGAAATGTTATTTTTGTTAGTATGTCAGATTTAGTTTTATATCATGGATTTAAGTTAAAGTATTGTATACATTCCCAATAAGATCATCAATTAAATTAAATTAATTATTTAAATTAAAGAAAAATATTCAAACATTTAATAACCTTGTGTTTAGTTTTTGCTTTACAGTATTACGTCAGCTAAAGGATAATTGCTTTCATCATAAATCATAAATTTCAAAATAATAGTTGATTGTAATACTCATCAAGTACTAATAATAATGGTACACAGTGAGTCAAAACTATCAATCGTACAATCAAGTGGATGTGAATTAAACTCGCACTAGGCCCTGAATCCGTTTAACATCCGATTATTGTTTAAATTATATTTTATACCTAATTTATTGCTCAAGTTTGTATGCTTTTGTTTCGCACTATATTGGTAAACATATAATTCCGTTAGATATTTTCAATTAGAAATATTTGTAACCATGCTATAACCCCTCATGTATCATTGTAATCCTACCTACTTATGTTTACAAATAAAGCATCCTGATTCTGTTCCTATGAGAGATGCACAACGTGACAAGACCGAAAAAAACACGCTCACATAATATAGATAGATAGAAAACTCTTTATTTGCACACTAAATTACAGAGTTACAAGAAAGGAACACAGCGATCAAATATCGAGTGTACAAAGGGCGGCCTTATTGCTAAATGCAATTTCTTCCAGGCAACCTTATCTAGTTCGGTGCCCTGTTGCTGTCAGGCGGCCAAAGCATCCATCATACTTGGAACCGCGGCCATGTGCCTTGTCCTGGTTGAATACAGACTGTTCAGTCGGTTCTCGTCCATAAAATAAAGATTGCGTACTAATACTTTCTAATTGTAACCTGTTTTTTTATTACGGTACTAACTATAAGACTACCAAATTTCGTATATTTTTAGTTAGAGGATCTTTGTAAGATAACGTTTGAAATATTATACCTATCCATGTTCCCCAGCAGTAGACATCTGATTTGTCACTCATAGTCCACCAAATGACCTGATAAGCTCGCTTAATCTCCAGCGAAGGACTGATGCGCGCACGGCTGACGGGCGCTCGCGCAGCCCGCGGTAACGTCCTCATATTTCTTGACGCTCACTGCGAAGTGACCACCGACTGGATGCGACCCCTTCTTCAAAGAATAAGGCACAAGAGGGATGCTGTACTCACTCCCATCATAGACGTCATAGACCAGAGCAGCTTCGAGTTACAAGCTTCGGATACTTTTCAGGTGGTTAAAATCAGATTGAACTAACCTTGGCTTGGAAGATATAACCTGGAAAAGAAGATAAAGTGTTTGAAGAGCATGAAATACTAATATAAAATAGATATCCATTCCTATTAAGGCTAGCCATGTTCAACGATTGCCTGGTTACTTAAAAACAATCGCGACAAAAGAGACAGAGAGGTAGATAGGTACTCTTTATTGCACACCATAATTAGGATACATACGATGGAGATTAGAATACTTTTATAAATAAAATTCTCTATCTAACAATAGTACACATTGTTAATATCGCATATAAAAACTTTTTGGTAACTGTACTTGTACATAACACCCAAAAAACTAAGTTCCATTATATTATTTATCTTTAAAGATGTGACCACATTTTAAAACCTTTTTTTTACATTTTAATGTAATTAAAAGACTTAATCAATACAAAGCTGAATGAACTTGTTTTCAAGGTTCAGAATTAAGATAAAAAAAAATATAGTGTATATTTTTGCGAAGATTGCCGAGTATTACGTCCCACAGGGACACTTATTCAGTGAGCGACACGACCTGTTTCAGGTGCTGCATTAATGTCAGTTTTTTCACTTTTTCGGTACACATACAGTATACGTTGAATAACTAAGGTTAACTGCGCAATCGTTGATCATAAATGTTGATGGCTAATGTATTTTAATCCCAAATGGATTCTGCATGGAAGTTAAAGGATGAAAATTAAATGAGTGGTCATATACCTACTAACTGCAACGAAGATTTTGAATGTTGATGAGTTTTAGAAGACACTAACAGTATAAAGCTAATAGCGGTGGTATGTAGTTATCGTTAGCGGTATTCATATTTATTATAATACATTATTACTCATGTGTGTATTTAGGGTAACACACCTGGTTCCCCGGCTACTGGTACCTTGAGACGGTACGTGCGGTATTTGGTCGGTTCGAGTCCGACATAATCACCCACTGGTGGTTGGTGTCCGAGGGGCGTTCCGCACAGAAAAAAAAAACAAAAAAAAAGGGTAACACATACTAGTGTCAGGTCTGCCACCGATGCGATAGGCCGCCTCGCTCCTTGATAACGGGCTTTCATCGAGCCAGACTAGTCTTACATCCCTGAAATACACACTTCAGTACTTCTGAACATCTTCAGTTAGTAACACAAATTAATATTTATTAAAGAAATATGTTTTTACGCATGTATCTGTAATTTTTGAGTCTTGTAGCTTGCAATACTAAATAATATTGGTGATGGAAAGTTTTATTTAAATTTTCGCTAATTGCACGGACATTTGGTTTGAATAAGCGAAGGTGGAAGTGTAACACGAATATAAACTACCTTTATATCAATAGCTTGTAGCGTTTTCTAAACAAAATACCTATAGTAAATTGTTTTATTCTATATATTAATAATACACGAAGATAATTCTTTGTACCGCTGTCCGTGTGGTGACGGATTAAGAATACGAAGTGTCAACACCGCTATTCGCCAACTAAAGAAACGAAACTACGCAGGAAAACAGCACAACACAAAGAAAACTATACTAACAACACAACACAAACAACAACAACAACTATAGTAACAACACAAACAAATCCTATACCAACCCAAACAAGTAGGCCAAAAAATGGGTAATTAATAATTAGCTTTAGAATTCCATCTGATATTGAGCTGGTAGCTTCTTCAATTTCTTTTACAAAAGTAAAGTCAGAAAGTTATAGTAAAAAATAATGGTCCCAGGAACTTACAGATCTCGGGTATATGTCCCTGTCTCCTTTAATCTGCTGAAAAAATATTAATAAAATAATAATAAAAACATAGATTGTTCTGATCTATTAAATAATGTTAGGCTTAATGTTCCGTGCAAATCATCTCGTTTTAATCCCACAATATGTATTCCTCATTCATCTACTAATTATAGTGAGAATACTTATACTGTACGAGCGAGTAGAGCCTTCAACAAGTTATGCAAACAATATGATCTTGACCCGTTTGAAGTTAGTATACCTGCGGCAAATAGACGTTTGAGCCTTAATTTCTTCTCTAATTAAATTCGGTTTAGTCTGGTGCGGTGTGCGTATGTATGTGTATGTAATTGCATATGCGTGTGTATAGCGTTCTGGAGATACCTCTCAGATCTTCAAATATAAAATATTAGGCGTAATATCGATTTATGTAGCTGACTGTACTATACAATTAACATAAATCAGTCACACTTAATTGTTAGTAAAATTTATAAAAGTAAAGACCTGTAATTAGCTTTCTAATACTATTCTACTGTTAATCTGTCGATTTAGCTGTAAGTCTTCCATAGAATAAATAAATAAACAAACTCTATGACCAAGTCAATTAAGCAGGTGATTCCGTAAATATTATTTTTAGCGTGTATTATATTGGCATATATTGTTTACGTCCTTGAAAGACCTAAAACATGAAACGCTATTTAAATCGTGATTGCTGTATAATCTGAACGTGGACAATATGGAGGTGACCAGCGAAGCGATCACTCCGCTATACATTACAGTACATTAAGGCACAATTATAGAATACAATTATCGACGGGCCTGTTTTGGTCTAGCGGTTAGTGGCCCTGACTGCTAAACTGGAGGCCGTGGCTTCGATTCCATTGACTGTATTGTCACCATTGTTATTGCTTTTAGTTATTAGAATAATTTTAATTAAGTATATCTAGAAAACTGCCAAAGAAAATAAGTATTTTGAAGGTTAATCTATGTGAGTTTTTTTATTCTGTCATTACTTCTAAATGCCTTGAGATTTGGTTGCATTAGGTATTTTCATTTTAAATTTAAGAATAAACAAAATGGCGGTTAAATGAAGCCATTTTCAAATGTAAAAGTAAAGTACCAAAGTTATTGTTAAATTATATTAATTAGTTACTTGTTTCTTTGTATTTTATAAATATCTCGTAACTTGTATATGTGGTTAAAAATAAAACTAATCTCAAAAACTAACTCAAAAAGTTTGTACCACCCAAGACAATTCAAGTAAAACTAACTAAAACTTCGTCTAAGTGTCTACTGAACTTAATTTTAAAGAGAATATTCTTTTATTATTCTAGAAGGCTTTACCCCAATTTATAACAACTGATTATAAGTATGAATATATTTTTTATATTTATACCATTATACAGTACGAGTATATACGAATTATGTATAAAGCATACCTAGTTTTATTCATTATTGTATTATTTCTAATGTTACCTATTTCAGGTATTGTTTGTAAGCTATTGCATAGCTTCTTTCGCGGGCCTTGAGCGTGGAGACCGAATCCAGAAATTCCGTAACGAAAATAACCTAACACACCCCACGTGATAGTTTTTAGTTTTGCCATCTATCGATGAATAGCAGAACTTTTAATGACTTTTTTGATATCACGCTTGTCTCTTTAGTTCAGAAACTCGCCTTTAGGTGGCATTGGTTGTATCGGCGTTACTGCGCATGCGTAATCTCTTTCTTCGCCCCGCAATCTAATTAATATCAAAGAAAAAAAAACAAAGGAAACAAAATACTGCATAAATAAATAATCATTATAATTGCATAAGTTGATAAAAACTGCTATGCAATAGCTTTACCGCGGCAGTCCCCGAGTGCCACACGTCTTTTTTTATTTTTCCTTTTTTCTTCCTGTCCTTATTTCAGAACATGGATGTGTCGCACAAACATCACATATACAATCACACACTTGAATGGTTTCGAGAGTCATAGCGGCTGCAGTTGGAAATCAGCGTGCTGTTGAATGTGGCCATCCAAGAGCACGCTAAACTGCAGAACTATTGGCTGTTACAAACAATTTGCATGTGCCTATAAATTTTCTTACTTTCTAGTGTATAATAATAATGTATAAATGTAGTATAACAGTTTATCGCCTTTGCTCCAATTGTACACCTGCTACACAGCTCTGCATCACCCGAAGGTTGACTGGAAGAAAATGCCTATGGCATTAAGTCCACCATTTACAATGTATTTGCTTGAAGTATAAATAAATAAATTAACTTTAGAATATTATTTGGGAATGTATACAATCTGGTGTGTGTGTATATTTATAAATTTATTAATTACTAATTCTGTAATGTATTTTTATTTAGTATGTATAAACTTAGTCCACGCTAGGTACCCCTTTCACTGATCACGTGTATATATTGCAAACTAGAAAAGCAACTGCGAATATGAGTTTGTTTGTTCGTTCTCACAGCTGAACTACTAAACCGATCTTCGTGAAATTTGCACCTTTCATTCAGGAAAACTAGAGATACTTATATAGATTAACTGTCTATGCATAGATGCCAGAGAAGCACGTGCAAAGCTGGTTTACCATAAGCTTCAACTGACACAGCATCATCAAATCAACTTCTAGAAGTTAGCATGTTGAAGGCAGTTGCTGGAATAGTTTTTTCATTTTTCTTTGTTTATATTATACGCCAATGTATACTTTCTGTTTACAGTGTGCAAAGTTTAATGTTATATTGCTTTTACGTGTGTAGGTGGGTGGATTCTCATTCATGGGCCATTTCCTCTGGACGGATGTGCCAGAGAGGGAAAAGAAGCGACGAGGATCGGATATTGGGCCAACATGGTAAGTTGTTTCGTCCTGGATAATTTTAAAACCTTTCCAGGACTGAGGAATATGTACCATGAACTCCGGGCTTTTTAAAGAGGTGATGGTTTTACCGCGAGATCATAACTTTTGAGATATTGGCAGAAATAATCATCGATTCGACTACTATCACCTTACCATACGTATAAAAAAGAGGAACTTCCGCATTCCAGAAACCAGGTTGAAGGTTTTGATCACAATCACATGTGAAAAATCATATGATTTAAAAATTTAAAAAAAACACGGCTACTTAATTATTATTTTTACGCTAGCTCAAGACTCGTGAAAGGTGTAAATCTAAAAAAAGGTAGTAATCTTAGAAAAAAGAATTTTGCATGATTATAATGTCTATGAAGAAATCACAATCAGATGTGAAATAGCTGTGACTAAAACCAATCATTTTATCAAATGTATATGATATAGAAGTAGCAATATGTTCCGTGTCTAGACGTTACCGAAGCCCAAACCCCTCTTCAATCTGATTGTGGGGGGAAAGACTCAACGCAACGCACTTGTAACTTGTGTTTTAGATGTCCATGGGCGGCGGTCGTTACTGTCCATCAGGTAACCCGTCTGCTTGTTTGCTCCCTAAACCCCTTAAAACCAAAAAAAATGGCTTGAGGGCTCTATGGACCCCCGGACGGAACGAAGTTCCTTTCGCTTTTTGGTAGATGTTTACTATAGTGTCGGCAAAAAGTCTTGTTACACATTTTTCGGTCGGTCGGACCAGTTCCACGATCAGTTACACGCTCTGAGCGCAGAGCTGTGTCCAACGTGTGCATTAAGTTATAAGATTCTAGAATAATAAAGTATCTTCTTGGATCCAGGTCTCCAACAATGGCAGGCGGTCTGTTCGCAATAAGTCGCGATTACTTCTGGGAGCTGGGCGCGTACGATGAACAGATGGGAGGTTGGGGGGGAGAGAATCTCGAGATGTCGTTCAGGATATGGCAGTGTGAGTATTCATCTTTCTAGAAAACTCTGCGGTTTGCTACTGAGCTATATAATAAGTGATATACGTACTCCATAAGCATTCGAAGCGCTCTTGATTGCCCTCAACTGTTGGCAGTGGTGAGCCCTCTGCTAATTTTCCCCCTATTGTGTGACGGGCCTGTTGGTCTAGTGGTGGTGACACTGACTGCTAAGCCAAAGGTTATGGGTTCTATTCCCACCCAGGACTAATAATTGTGTGATGAGCACGGTCATTTGTTCTGTGTCAGGGTGTAATTTCTCAAATAGATGTATGTATTTAGAAATATATAGTATGTTTATCAGCAGTCTGGTTACCATAGTACAGGCTCTGACTAGTTTGGGATCAGACGGCCGTGCGTGAGATGTTTGAAGGTATTATTTATTATACCATAAATAACGTGGTAGACAAACTGAACTCCCTTAACAGAGAACTGCTTGCAAAGTGTGGCAAGTATCTTCAAATCGTAATGTCCTCATCCAGCTAATCATTGTATTTCTTTATTTCAGGTGGTGGCACTTTGGAGACCATTCCGTGTTCCCGAGTGGGGCACGTCTTCAGATCATTTCATCCATACGGGATGCCGGCCTCATCTGACACACATGGTAAAAATATTCTCATTTGATAATAAAAGTTACAGATACGCAATCCTGGTCTGCTCAATAGTAGTAGTATTGCTTATACAGTCCATTCAGGATGGAAATAAGGAGCATCTTGTTTTCCCTGCATTAGCCGTGTGGCGAGAAGGAAAACTTAAAACAAACCCTATACCAACCTCTCTGGCCAGCGTGGTACAGTAAGCCTAAACCTCCTTTCTAAGGAGAGGCCTAGGTTCAGCAGTGGACTATTAAAGGCTGTTGATGCCAATGATTTTTTTCAATAAATTCGCAATTTAAATCTAATTCCTAAAATGCCCGAACGGTCCTAGGCTTCTTCCCTATTACCTAGGTCAAACTAAAATTATAGAATACAATTAAAATACAGGCTTTTACCATGCCTCTATACAGGATATTATTATAATTGTGGTATGTATGTTTGTTTGCAGGTATAAATACGGCTCGCATGGCCGAAGTATGGATGGATGAGTACGCGGAGCTGTTCTACCTGCACCGGCCTGACCTCAGGGTGAGTACTTAGCATCTGATACCATGTAGAAGCAGTGACAGTTCACCTGATGGTAAGTAAGTGCCACCGACATCACCGACTCAAAAGTCGCAAGTGAGTTACCGGCCTTAGAAGGGAGGAAGGCTTGTTCATGGCATAGGGGGCAAACAAACAAATTAAATCTGATGGTAAGTGATTGACGTCGCCCATGGAAACCTGCAATTAGGCATTAGGCCCCATTAGGCACTTTGGGTCAGCCCTTGTGTGTCAAAGTATGTCTCTCCCACGGTCATAGAGAAGAGAAGGATAACGGATAAAGGAGTAACGGATTCTACATCCACTTTGAGACTTTCGGGACTAATTAGTTAGCATGCTTGGTTTGTATGGCGATTACTACATACGGTGAAACGAAGAAACATACTACAGCGCCATCTAACGAAGATACGAATACGAAGAACTACGGAATAACTGCTAATCCTGTGTCGCGATATGAGCAATTCTCTCGCCGATTAGCATTGAATACAACTTGCTAACATCAACCGTTGGTCCGCCAGGCTTGATCACCTCGCCTGGTCGGGTGTCATGTTCTTCCAAAACAAAGGGATCCTCCACAGTTTGTAATTATATTCCAATAAAACCTATATAAAAACGACTTTCGGTGTTATATCTTCTGGATGTTTCCTAGAAAAATCCAATAATTGGTGACGTCACCCACCGGAAGATCCTCCGCGAGAAACTCAAGTGCAAGAGTTTCCAGTGGTACCTGGACAACATATATCAAGAGAAGTTCGTTCCTGTCAAAGATGTCTACGGCTATGGCAGGTAAACAGATAGACACAACACGATTACACACATATATTACGGATAAACTTTTAATTACAAATATTATTTCCTTCAGTCATATATTCTTTTGCTTTCTCGGACGCTTTTTGCATAACAATCTATTGTATACTAAGTATTGAATATTTTTGCCAAAAATAAACACTATTGTAGTGACTGGTTATGATGTAACTGAAAATCTCCTTCATTCAGTCAAAGAGTCACACAAACACGCACCCTTTCGCACTCATGCGCAGACTCTCTCACACACATGCGCACACGCCGCACACAACCCTCTCTTTCACTCTAATAATATAATACCTAACACATCTTACACACGGCCGTCTTATCCCAAACTAAGCAGAGCTTGTACTATGGTAACCAGACCGCTGATAAACATACTTATATATTTGTAAATACATACATATTATAGATAAATTACTGAACACTTATTTCCACAACTGTTAATAATGATAATGTTCAGTAGCCTTAATAGTAGCTAAAGAATCTCTGTTTTTAATGTTCTGTGGTAAAATTGAAGCGTTGTATTACCAAACTGTGCCGTACAAAGAGTTGCTGGTTCTTATAGCACATCATCATCATCAACAGCCTATAACAGTCCACTGCTGGACATAAGCCTCTCCTTAAAAAGGAGGCTTTGGCCTACTATACCACGCTGGCCAGACGGGTTGGTATAGGGTTTGTGTCAAGTTTTCCTTCTCTTTGTAGTGCTGTTGTCCTGTGTAGTTTGCTCCCTTAGTCGACTCTTACGACACCCGCGGGATGAATATGGGTGGTGACACGCCGTATTCTTAATCCGTCACCACACGGATCTTCTTATAGTCCAGGGCTTCCCTAGGTACCAGCAGTTCATTATTTGCGATTACTTGTAAAATACAATCTATAAAGTTATGTTTGTAAACTTTCGTAGTCGTAAAACCGACTAAAGGAGCAAACTACGCAGTCAACGGCACTGCAAAGAAAAGGACCCTATGCCAACCCGCCTGGTTAGCTTGGTATAGTAGCCCAAAACCTCCTTTCTAAAGAGAGGCCTGTGTCCAGCAGTGGATCGTTAAAGGTTGTTAATCTCATGTGTTATATTGTTTCAGGTTTAGGAACGAGATCACCCAGATGTGCCTGGACACGTTACAGAAGGAGGGCGACAACGTTCTCCTGGGGGTGTACCCTTGCCACGCGGACCTGCAGGCCTCACAGTATTTCTCCCTCTCCAACAAGGGGGAGATCCGCGACGAGACCAACTGCGCCAGCGTCCAGCGCTCCAGGTGAGACGACACTTGGAACGTTCGATATAATTCCCACTCCACAACTTTTTTTTCTGTAAAACTAGTTATCGTCTGCGGTATTCCCAGTCTGATACGACCTTCAAACCTTCAGAATAGAGCGTACTTCCTTCTCACGGTTTCCCTGAGTTACCGAAGGCATAACCCTGCCCCCTCACGTTTATCATGCAGGGGGCAGTCACACTTGTGTCTCACGAGTTGAAGGTTTACGTAACGAGATATGAAGTGCCATCAGATGACCCGAGGGTTTTAATAACACAGGTGGCTTAGGAGATTAATATTTTCTGTATAGTTTTATACGCGAGCTTATTTATGCTTTGGCAGATGTAGTTTTTATACCTGTCAAATGTATGATAAATCTCTTCACATCAACAGCCTTTACTAGTCCACTGCTGGACATAGGTCTCCCCTTAGAAAGGAGATTTCGGCCTACTATACCAAGTTTGTGCCAAGTTTTCCTTCTTTAAATCCTTGAAAAATCTCTTAGGCCGTGCAAATTAAATGCTTGGTTATTTAATTACTTTATTGTTTAATTTAGTAGCGAAATGTAAGTATTATTTCTTAATATTATATTTATTTGACTGCATGGATAGCGTAGTGGTTTAAGCTGTCGCCACGCCGCTTCCCACTTCGTTCAGTGTTGTGGGTTCGATCCCCACATGGTACGACACTTTGTGTGATCCACAAATTGTTGTTCTGAGTCTGGGTGTTCTTTGTGTCCGTTTCATGTATGTTTGTAAAGTCCTCCGCGACACATGATATATTCCTAGTGCAGGAGTTGTCTTTAAAAAAAATTGACTACAATATAAATATTAAGTGCAGGACATAAACGGACAGGATAAACCAAAAACCATTTCTTATACTTATATCAAATACTCTAAAAATAATGCCCAAAAATTATAATTATTTATCATTATTTTCGTACTCCTACGCTTATACCTGCGAAGGGGCGAGAGAGGCGTATTATCGCCCACATTAAGCCGGGTATAATTTTAATATCATTTACGTAAGGGGGGCAATTGCGGTAAACCGGCACTTTAGGCACTAGATAACAAATTTGTGAGTTCCATATGAAAAGAAAAATTGGTAAGGAAAGGGATGTTGGTTATACGGATGGTTGTCAGCGATGGAATGAGTAACTCAGGGTCGCATGCCAGCACCTTGAACTGGCTGTTAAGAGGAAACCGGACCCCTGTAACTTTTATAAAATATATTTTTTATGATATAATATCCTTATATATATATATAATTCTTCTGTGCGTGTGTATGTGACAGAACTCCTCCTAACGGCTGAGCGGATTTTGATTAATTTTTTGTGTGTGTTGGATGGATTCTCCATTTGTATATTTGTCAAAAACTTTATATACTGTTGAATTTATATATGATGTACTAAACTTTGGTTTGACTGGAAGAAAATGCCTGAGGCATTAAGTCCGCCTTATGCAATATGTTTGCAGGAAGACTCAACGGGCACAATTTATTTGTTTTGATTTAAGCAGACAAATTTAGTAGGTATATATATATATATATATATATAAATTACAATAATTTGAATTTCAGTGACACCGAAGCACTTTTTAAAGACCATCCGTAAGTGTCTTCAATTTGTTATGTTACATCAATAGACAGACAGACACGCATTTTTTTTTTTACTGAGCAACGATTTTCACTCGTTTTGCACCCAACACACTGATAAACATACTTATATATTTAAAAATACATAGATATTATAGATAAATTACACCCAGACTCAACAAATGATAGTGCTCACCGCAACAATTATCGGGTGGAATCGAACCCACCACCTCTGGCTTAGCAGCCAGGATCACTAGCCTTTAGACCAATAGAGTGGTCTTTTTTGTTTCGTTTTTACCTCTTCAATTAGATTATTTTAGAATATAGTGATTTAAATAAGTGTTTAGTTATAAGAGTACATCCCTATTAGACTATAATTTTGAGGTCTTCAACTTTAACTCAACTTGACTGTTGACTGCACGGATGGCCTAGTGGTTTAAGCGGTCGCCACACCACTCACTACTATGCTGAGTGTTGTGGGTCCGATCCCCACATGGCACGACACTTTGTTTGATCCACAAATTGTTGTTCTGAGTCTGTGTGTTCTTTGTGTCCGTTTCATGTATGTTTGTAAAGTCCCCCGCGACACAGGATATACTTTATTCCTAATGCGGCGTTGTCTTAACAAAAAAACAAACGTTATAAAGTAACAAATGCGAATTGTTAACGTTTTCAAATCTGAAATATAGTGTTGTACAGCAAATATCATTTCACAGGCCCCTGTTTGCTCCTGACTTGTAAGTACCATCACATGGCTAGCGACACAAACCACTTTATTTTACTGACAATATAAATACAACGTGGCAGAACCATGCTTCAGCTCATATGACGGTTCACGGAATACCAATTAAGTGAGGTTTATGCAGTCCTGCAACCCCCCCAACCTCTCTCACACTGATTTTGGAAGGCCTCAAAGCATTGTGACTCTTAAGTTGAAGGTCTCCATAGGGAACTGTTACAGTTACCATCAGGTGACCCTTCGGCAGACCCAGAGGAGCACAGCGGAGAGGATTTACTTAAGACACTCGAAAGTAAACTTTATAACTATTGCAGTAAAGTGCATTCATGTTTGAACTTGTCAAAATATGCTCGCGTGCCCTCGGAAAATGTGTATGAACTTTACAGAAATAGTTTGAAGTTTATTGTTTAGTGTCTTAAAAAAAATCTTCTCTGTCTGCGCTGGCCCTTTTGCCACCTATGTCATGAAAAATAACAATGTAAAAAAAGTATGAACAAACTCAAATACAAAATTATTTATTATTCATAGGAACGACATCGAAGACCCGCGCAGCGAGATCATACGACCGGTGGTGATGTCCGCTTGCCACGGCAAGGGGCGGGACCAGAAGTGGGTGCGACTGCCGACCGGTCAGCTGCAGCACGTGGTCACGAAGCTGTGCATCACGGCTCCTCACGCCGTGGGGGACGTGCAGGCCACCGTCTGCAAGCCTGGCGTGTTCCAGCAAATATGGGTCATTGATTACACAGAAGACAATAACTTCCGACGTGAATGTAAGTATCCAGTTCAACCAGGAATGACTGGGCCAGTTGCTGTGAAGGGAATCGTGGTTCTAAGTAATTTGGTTGAAATATTGAGGTGTGTAGTGTATATTGTCCGTGTAGTGACGGATTAAGAATACGGAATGTCACTACCCCAATTCATCCCGTGGGTGTCGTAAGAGCCGACTAAGGGAGTAAACTACGCAGGACACCAGCACTGCAAAAAGACGGAAAACTTGACACAAACCCTATACCAACCCGTCTAGCCAGCGTGGTATAGTAGGCCAAAACCTCCTTTCTAAGGAGAGGCCTATGTCCAGCAGTGGACTATTAAAGGCTGTTGATGATTGAGGTGTGGGACCTCACTGAAAAGTAAGTGAGGGAGGGATGTTATAGGAGGGCCATCCTTCTTCCTCCTCCCTCCGAGCCTTTTGCCCCAAACTAGATTGGGGTCTGCTTTAAGTCTACTACGATACGGCTGAACTTCGATTTGTTACTCGGAGCGTCTACCATCAGACCTCCACAACCCAATTACTAGATGATATCGAAGTTCTGTACAAAGACTGTTGTCAGACTTTTTAGGGTTCCAACTATGATACGATTGCCACAGATGTTCGAATGACAACCAGGACTGACGGCTTAACGTGCTCTCAGAGGAACGGAGGGATCTCAATGTGTTAAGAAATGGTCACCCATCCATATACTGACCTGGCTAGGATTGCTTAACTTTGCAATGTGTTAACCTACTCCGTTACCACTTAGGCACGAGATCCTCCACCTCCCTCCTTATTCTAAAAATGTATGCCTTAAATATGTTACTCTTTAAATTGACACTCAGGACGTATGTTTTATTTGTAAACAATTAACTGTGAAGCATACAATAATATCTCGTTTGTGAATAATTGCATGCGCATGCGCTAATATCTCAATCTCATTCTCATTCAATCATAATTTCTTCATTCAGTCTCATCTTTACCTGTCCCAAATATACACCTGCCGATCTGCGGTCTAAAAAATATTGGAGGTAAGATACTTCTCAACACTACCATTGATAACCCGCGCACTCCTACCATTCAAGGCGCCAGGACTAGATGGTGTCTTCCCAGGCCTACTGAGATGGTGTGATATGACACTACTGGACCATCTTGTAAAAATTTATAGGGGCTGCCTGGCGCATCAGTACATCCCCTTGAAATGGAGAGAAGTCAAAGTAGTCTTCATCCCCAAACCTGGTAAAGGTGACTACACACAACCCAAATCACACCGACCTATTAGTCTCACATCTTTTCTACTAAAGGTTCTCGAGAGGCTAATAGATAGGGAAATCAGGGAAACTGCGTTAGTCAGTCACCCTCTACACCTCAATCAACACGCATACTCGATGGGTAAATCAACAGAATCTGCCCTACATCGAGTTGTTTCATATATAGAAGACAATCTAAATCACAAAAGGTCAACACTGGCTACCTTTATCGATATCGAGGGAGCCTTTGACAAGACCAACTTCACCAGCATTAGCCAAGCTCTATCTAGGCATGGTGTTGATTCCACAATCTCAGGGTGGATCGATAGCATGCTAAGATATAGAGCTATTCAATTCACTGTGAGCGAAGTGACTAGAGGAGTGGTGGCTAGAGGTTGCCCCCAGGGCGGTGTACTCTCCCCTCTTCTATGGAACATTGTTGTGGATGAGCTCATCGCACAACTTAATGACCAAAGATTCCTCACAATAGGCTATGCAGACGATCTTACTATTCTTATCAGCGGTCCTTTTGAGAGCATTACATGCGATCAAATGAGACTTGCACTGAAGATCGTGGAACAATGGTGCGTAGCACACAACCTGACAGTGAACCCATCCAAAACAGAGATGATCATGTTCACAAACAAACGCAGCCTAGGAAATCTCAGACTTCCTAAGCTATTTGGAACACAACTTACTCTTACCAAAGAGGTCAAATACCTAGGAGTAATACTGGACAGTAAACTCCTGTGGAATATGCACCTCGATGAAAAACTGAATAAAGCCTGCATTATTTTCTGCCAATGCAAGCGGCTACTCGGCAAAAGCTGGGGACTATCACCCAAAATCACTTTATGGCTATACAGGACAGTCATAAGACCAATAATCACTTACGGTGCTGTTGTCTGGTGGCAGAGAACAGAGCTTAGCACCGTCATAAACAAACTGCAGCAATTCCAGCGACTTCCATGTTCCGCGGTCACTGGCTGTATGCGCACAACGCCTACTGCCGCACTGGAGGTGGCTCTTGGTCTGCCACCCCTGGATCTATTCATACAGCAGGAGGCCGCCATGGCGATCATTAGACTCAAACACCTGGGTCTATGGCACAAAAGTGAGGGATCGCACTCCAAATTATGGGATCAATTAGTGGAATACGAACCACTGATAGCAGCTCCATGCGATAGAATCCCAAAACACCATATCTTCACAAGAAGATACTACATCCAGATACATGGAAATGACCGAGATCAATCCGGCATTAACGAAGTCCGAATTTACACGGACGGTTCCAAGACTAGGTCAGGAACTGGAGCCGGAGTTTTCTCGCAAGACCTAAATATAAACATATCACTAGCGTTAGGCCAACACAGTTCCATATTTCAATGTGAATGTGTGGCAATAACTTACGCTGCCACAACGGCCATGTCAAGGGGTATCAAGGACTACAACATCCGAATAATATCCGACAGCATGGCCGTCTTAAAGGCACTGGAGGGCAACACAATGACCTCTGGTATTGTCTTCGAATGCCACCAAGCACTGGAACAGCTCGCTATATTCAATGGGGTACTCCTCCAATGGATTAAAGGGCACAGTAACTCACACGGGAACGATGCCGCAGATGAGTTGGCAAGGAGGGGCTCGGCAACCCCAACCTCTGGCCCAACGCCACTCCTGCCCATATCGTTTAACCAAATACGATGCTGGGTCAGGCAACGGACCTGTGAAGCACACAACCGGAGGTGGAAAAACTCACCCGGCTGCAGACAGTCCAAACTGGTGCTGAATCAAGTCACACCACGACTCACCTGCAGATTGATCAGTCTTAGCAGACCGGAACTCAGAATGGTTGTCGGAACTATTACAGGACATCTAGCCCTGAACCGACAACTATTCATAATCAATGCGACGGACAGTCCCCTGTGCAGGGGATGTCTGGAAGCTGAAGAAACGGCCGCCCACGTAGTCCTGGAATGCGAGGGAGTGGCCACACAACGGGCAAGTATCATTCCTGATATAAAGTCGCTCCTAGAAGCCTGTGAACGCCCCAGGAGGCTTCTGCGCTTCTGGAAGGAGCTTGGTTGGCTCACCTAGTCAACCAATCCTCGACGCATAAAGGACCACTCTGAGTCTAAATGCGGAAACCGAAGCCCAAAACCAAAAACCAATATACACCTGCCACACACAGCTTTGCAACACCCAAAGGTATGACTGGATGAAAATGCCTGAGGCATTAAGTCCGCCTTATGCAATATGTCTGCAGCAAGACTCAATAAATAAATAATACTAAACTGTTTTCTTTATTCCTTAATTTTCAACCTTAATGGTGGATTTTGTTCTTCAAATTTAAATAGAACCAAACCCTTTCAAATGAAAAATAATAATTTTCCAAATTAGTTAATAAATGGTGGATTTTTTAAGTGACAAACATACAAAAATAAAGAAACAGCGGACTCTAGAAGGTTCCCCCTTTTTTCAAGTCGGTTATAAGATACAAGAGAGTCACGATAGGTGTCTGTTACAGCGGCAGACGACGTGAGCTCCGACCAGGAGAGGAGGATCAGCATGCTGCGTGGACAACGGTGAGTTGACTGCACGGGTGGCGTAGTGGTTTAAGCGGTCGCCACGCCGAGTGTTGTGGGTTCAAACCCCACATGGGACGACACTTAGTGTGATCCACAAATTATTGTTCTGAGTCTGGGTGTTCTTTGTGTCGTTTCATGTATGTTTGTAAAGTCCCCCGCGACACACGATGTATTCCTAATGCGGGAGTTGTCTTTTTAAAAAAAAAGTGTCTCTGATACACAGTCTGGCTGTAAGACCTTCGTCACTCCCGGACTGCTATTCCAAAGGCCGCGAATTCGATTCCCGCTCAAGTTAAACATTTGTGTGCATGAACATTTAATGTTTGATTTGGTCTGGGTGTTTCTATGTATGATAAGTATGTATTTACAAAAAAAAAGGTATATATGTATTTATATCAGTTGTCTAGTATCCATAGTACAAGCTCTGCTTAGTTTGGGACTAGATGGCGTTGTGTGAATGTGGTACAATAATATTATTATTATCTGACATCTCTTTAATTGAAGTTTCTTTTTAAGTAGCACCTCGTCTTTTTAAAGATAACTCCCGCACTAGTAATAAATCCTGTGGCACTTTACAAACATACATGAAACACACCACGGCACATAGAATTTACTTCACATGTAAATATATACCTAGATACAAATAATAAAATAAGAATAAAATAGTTATTTATTTCGTTGTAGCTTTAAAGAAGTTGACAAGCACTCTCTGCGGTGAGTTAAACATTTTAATATTTGTCCCATTCTTTGAAAAGCTCGACTGTTTTTAGAACAATTATTCTAGAGGATAGCCATCTCAGGCAAAAGCGATTCTGACGGCCCACACAATCTTTTTTTTATAATGTAATAAAGTCCGTTAATACTTGACCTTTGTGTGACTGTAAGGTAATTTAGATCCAAATATTGTGAGTACAGCGGCTACGGAGGTGTTATTTGAGGTGTAATGTTCTCCCACAGTCGCATATCGCGCTCGCTGATGTCCTACTCGGAATCGAACCCGAACCAGGTGTACGACGCGAGGCGGGATGACAACAGCCCACCAGAAAACGCAACTGTACGGAGACACACACACAAGGTACCAATCGCTTGCTTACTTCCCGCTACCACTCGTGTTTATCGTCACTGCTTTGCTCGTAATGGTCCTAGCGTAATGCTAGCCTACCTATGCTCTTTCGCAAGAATTAAACTATCAAATGCAAAACTGCCCATGAATTCGTCTATCTACAATCTATTTGTCCATCCAAAGGTTGCCTGTAAGAAAACTACTTTTTAGCGATAAGGCCGCTATTTTTACATGGCCATTAATTTTATATACTATTGTGTGTATGATGTATTAAACTGGTGTAAAATAAAGATTATTCTATTCTAAACGGGTTCTCGGGGATTCTGTTCAATATCGAACCGACCGAACAGCATCCCCGTTGGTCCCGAATGTTTTGCACTATCGCGCTTTGCACGCCACTGCGTACATAAAAACAAGGACACACCTAAGACACGTATATGACGGAATGCTTGTTAACCATCTTAGTTTTATAAAATTTAATATTTTGTATAGAATAAACATCACAAACGCCACGGCCGCAAAGGCAAACACGGCACCAAGAAACGGACGAAGAACAAGTTTATACTGAAACTAGTTCGTACGCTGATGAACGGGACCGAGGACCACTTGGAGGTCGACATTCACTGCAAGCACAGGCAGCTGTACCCCAACAACACGTTCGTGCGAGACCTCGTCACTATACTCAACGACAAGAATGTTAAGGTGAGTTAATAACATGGGGAATGCTTTTTTCTTTTTTAAAAGACAACTCCCGCATTAGGAATATATCCTGTGTCGCGGGGGACTTTACAAACATACATGAAACGGACACAAAGAACACCCAGACTCAGAACAACAATTTGTGGTTCACACAAAGTGTAGTCCCATGTGGGGTTTGAACTATCAACACTTAGCGCAAACAGGAAGCGGCTTGGCAACCGCTTAAACCACTACGCCATCCGTGCAGTCAAATCCATGCTTTAAATCATCACCTTTAATAGACCACTGCTGGACACAGGCTTCTCCTTAGAAAGGAGGTTTTTTTTCATAGTAGGCCAAAAGCTGTAGGCTAAGCGCTGGCCACGCTGGCCAGACGGGTCGGTATAGGGTTTATGTCAAGGTTTCCTTCTCTTTGCAATGCTGTTTCTGGTTTCTGGTCTAAGAATCTTTATTTCTCAAAAGAATTTACAAAATTCACGTACTGAGAAAACATACATAAAAGTAAACAAAATAAATACATTGAGCGTTTGAATATTTTGCTCCCTTAATTGGCTCTTACGACACTCACGGGATGATTAGAGGTGGTGACAAACCGTATTTTCAATCCATCACCACACGAACGGTGTTTTAAATACTTGGAAACAAACAAATGTACCATTGATTACCTTACTTCGAGTACCCTGTGAAGCGGCCCGCTCTTTCTCCACCACACACTTACCACCACCAGAGCGCGGCACCTAGATAAGGACACAGGACCTCACGTCAACACTTTCTCTAAGGCTCCACCTCCTCAGTTAAGTCCTACTAACGGCTGAAACACGCTTCAGAGTCGGTGTTCCTGGGATTTTCGCACTGATATCGCTTGTATTTTACATCTATTCGATCGTCACGGTGAGTGCGTTAGGCGTAGCGTTTGGCCCGCGCTGAAATCTTCACGAATCGCAATTGAGTTGGAGACGAAAAGCTGTATGTAAAACTGAACGTTTAAATTCGCAGGTAATAAACAACGGGCGAGTGTTCGAACGCAACAAGGTGTCCGAACTCGACTCCGTACGCCCTCAGAGCTCCAAGGTCCTGAACAAGATGGACATCGAGGAGCCCAACCCGCAGGCACCCTCGCAGCCTGTCAACGCACTCGCACGGATGAGAGAAGGGGTAAGTTTGACTTGCAGAATTGGGACTTGGCAATTCCGTAAAAAATTAGAAAGTTTTTTTTTTAAGGTCTTTTTTTGGTGACGAGGTGAAAAATCCCTTCGGATCTCCGGTTCATTGGGGGCGCAGGAGCCAATAGCATATGGTGTGGTAAAGAAAACCACCCGATGCCCGGCCTCACTCCTACTCTTGGGAGAATCCGGACCATATGATTGCAGGCCCTGTCCTGGGGGCTTTTATAAGGGCTTGGATTAGAATTATCTAGACACAGTTAATAAAATTTGTGTCTGTTTATAATCCTGTGACGAATTGCACATACTTCAACAGTCATCACCATCTAACGAAGACACACCGAACTACGGAGCTACTAAAAATCCTCCATCGTGTTATCAAAGCTCTCTCGCCGATTAGATACAACTTCCCAACATGAACCGTTCACGACCTTGCGCTATTAAGGTAACTCATGTTTTGTTACCAGGCAATGAAAGGTCGCAAGAAGTCCAAAGTGGTGGATGTGCAAACAGTGATCTCTCGGGAGCCAGTCGGCCTTCGACCTCGAGGTAATTGAACAGCTTATGTAGACATGTATTTTAATGATGAGTAGTTTTTTGGCAGTATTCTGTATACAGAGGACAGCATCAGGTCGGGGTCGGCTTTAAGTTTACTACGATACGGCTGTACATCAGAACGCCACAACCCAAGTACTAGGCGATGTCGAAGTTCTGTAGAAAGACTGTAGTACGATTGCCACAGATGTTCGAATGGCAAGCGGGACGGCTTAACGTGCTCTTCGAGGCACGGAGGGGTCTCAATGTGTTAGGAATCACCAATCCATAGACTGTGGTGACAGATTAAGAATACAGAGTGTCACCACCCCTAGGTGAACCCCCACCCCGTAGGTGTCGTAAGAAGCGACTATGGGAGCAAACTACGCAGGACAACAGCACTGCAGAGAGAAGGAAAACTTGACACAAACCCTATACCAACCCGTCTGGTCAGCGTGGTATAGTAGACCAAAACCTCCTTTCTAAGGCCTATGTCCAGCAGTGGATTAGTAAAAACTGACCAGGCTAGGATTGCTTAACTTTGCAATGTGTTAACTCCTGACTGCTAAGCCACAAGTCATGGGTTTGATTCTCACCCAACCAAATGCTCTGTATCTGGGTGTAGTTTATCTATGATTAGTTGACCCACACAATTTAGACTGCGTGTCCCAAAAGAAATAAAGCCCCGTTTTTGTAAGAATTATTATTGGTCGTAACGATATTATACAGCCTTCCTCGATAAAAGGGCTATCCAACACTAAAGGTATATCGCTATGACGACCGAATGGCGTAGTGGTTTGTGTAACGGACTGCTATACCAGAGGGCGCGGGTTTCGATTCCCGCTCAAGTCAAAATATTTGTGTGCATGAACATTTAATGTTTGATTTGGTCTGGGTGTTTCTATGTATAATATGTATGTATTTACAAAAAAAAAGTATATATGTATTTATATCAGTTGTCTAGTACCCATAGTACAAGCTCTGCTTAGTTTGGGACTAGATGGCGTTGTGTGAACGTGGTACTGTATAAAAAAAAAAACACACTCAAACTTTCTTTATTTCATAAAATTTCCAAAATTGTTTGAAATCGTCTTCCATGTATACTCTAAAGTCATAGATCAACACACACAAAAGCAACAATCTTTGTTTTGTCAAGATATTTAAGTGAACTTTATAAGATTAGTGTAGAAAGACTGACAGATGGATTCGCTGACTGATGGATCAATGCACAGCTGAAATCGCTGGGTCGAGAAGTATGAAATTTTCCACAAATGTTCCTCCGCTGACGTAGGCGTGCACTAAGAAAGGAATTTTTAAAAATTCCACCTCCAAGGGTGCAAATGGGGGTTCGAAATTTATATGAAACTTCGTTATTTTGAGTAGTATCGTTTTTAAACTCACAGTAAATACTTTTTAGTAAAAGTAATAAAAAACTTTTTGACTAATTGTTAAAGCTACCCTTAAAAAGGGCTGCAAATGGGGTAACTATCTTTTTTTGGAACTAATCAATTCCAAACTCTTATCACGCGGATGAAATCTCTCTCCCGCATTAGGAATATATTCGGGGACTTTACAAACATACATAAAACGGACACAAAGAACACCCAGACTCAGAACAACAATTTGTGGATCACACAAAGTGTCGCCCCATGTTGGGATCGAACCCACAACACTCAACGTCGTAATAAGTGGTGTGGCGATTAGCTAGCTACCGAGCTAGTAATAACATAAATATAATTATGTGTGTCTGTTTGACGGCAACAGACTTGCCACTTATTATGTAAATAACCCCTTAGGGGATAAGGGTTAGCTCACCATCTAACGAAGACACACCGAACTACGGAGCTACTAAAAATCCTCCATCGTGTTATCAAAGCTCTCTCGCCGATTAGATACAACTTCCCAACATGAACCGTTCACGACCTTGCGCTATTAAGGTAACTCATGTTTTGTTACCAGGCAATGAAAGGTCGCAAGAAGTCCAAAGTGGTGGATGTGCAAACAGTGATCTCTCGGGAGCCAGTCGGCCTTCGACCTCGAGGTAATTGAACAGCTTATGTAGACATGTATTTTAATGATGAGTAGTTTTTTGGCAGTATTCTGTATACAGAGGACAGCATCAGGTCGGGGTCGGCTTTAAGTTTACTACGATACGGCTGTACATCAGAACGCCACAACCCAAGTACTAGGCGATGTCGAAGTTCTGTAGAAAGACTGTAGTACGATTGCCACAGATGTTCGAATGGCAAGCGGGACGGCTTAACGTGCTCTTCGAGGCACGGAGGGGTCTCAATGTGTTAGGAATCACCAATCCATAGACTGTGGTGACAGATTAAGAATACAGAGTGTCACCACCCCTAGGTGAACCCCCACCCCGTAGGTGTCGTAAGAAGCGACTATGGGAGCAAACTACGCAGGACAACAGCACTGCAGAGAGAAGGAAAACTTGACACAAACCCTATACCAACCCGTCTGGTCAGCGTGGTATAGTAGACCAAAACCTCCTTTCTAAGGCCTATGTCCAGCAGTGGATTAGTAAAAACTGACCAGGCTAGGATTGCTTAACTTTGCAATGTGTTAACTCCTGACTGCTAAGCCACAAGTCATGGGTTTGATTCTCACCCAACCAAATGCTCTGTATCTGGGTGTAGTTTATCTATGATTAGTTGACCCACACAATTTAGACTGCGTGTCCCAAAAGAAATAAAGCCCCGTTTTTGTAAGAATTATTATTGGTCGTAACGATATTATACAGCCTTCCTCGATAAAAGGGCTATCCAACACTAAAGGTATATCGCTATGACGACCGAATGGCGTAGTGGTTTGTGTAACGGACTGCTATACCAGAGGGCGCGGGTTCGATTCCCGCTCAAGTCAAATATTTGTGTGCATGAACATTTAATGTTTGATTTGGTCTGGGTGTTTCTATGTATAATATGTATGTATTTACAAAAAAAAAGTATATATGTATTTATATCAGTTGTCTAGTACCCATAGTACAAGCTCTGCTTAGTTTGGGACTAGATGGCGTTGTGTGAACGTGGTACTGTATAAAAAAAAAACACACTCAAACTTTCTTTATTTCATAAAATTTCCAAAATTGTTTGAAATCGTCTTCCATGTATACTCTAAAGTCATAGATCAACACACACAAAAGCAACAATCTTTGTTTTGTCAAGATATTTAAGTGAACTTTATAAGATTAGTGTAGAAAGACTGACAGATGGATTCGCTGACTGATGGATCAATGCACAGCTGAAATCGCTGGGTCGAGAAGTATGAAATTTTCCACAAATGTTCCTCCGCTGACGTAGGCGTGCACTAAGAAAGGAATTTTAAAAATTCCACCTCCAAGGGTGCAAAATGGGGGTTCGAAATTTATATGAAACTTCGTTATTTTGAGTAGTATCGTTTTTAAACTCACAGTAAATACTTTTTAGTAAAAGTAATAAAAAACTTTTTGACTAATTGTTAAAAGCTACCCTTAAAAAGGGCTGCAAATGGGGTAACTATCTTTTTTTGGAACTAATCAATTCCAAACTCTTATCACGCGGATGAAATCTCTCTCCCGCATTAGGAATATATTCGGGGACTTTACAAACATACATAAAACGGACACAAAGAACACCCAGACTCAGAACAACAATTTGTGGATCACACAAAGTGTCGCCCCATGTTGGGATCGAACCCACAACACTCAACGTCGTAATAAGTGGTGTGGCGATTAGCTAGCTACCGAGCTAGTAATAACATAAATATAATTATGTGTGTCTGTTTGACGGCAACAGACTTGCCACTTATTATGTAAATAACCCCTTAGGGGATAAGGGTTAGATTGTACAAATGTTATTGATTCGCAACGAGTTCGGACACCGTTTGGTGCTGATGGCTGTACTAGTGATAGATTGTATACAACAGACATACCTGCCATCCCACCAGCCATGGGCTCGGGCTTCAGCGACGTGATGGACGCCGGCTCCAGCACCGACAAGAAGCTCATCATTGAAGACTTTGTGGAAGTCAAGAGGATACACACCACTGTCGGTGCTAAGGTTAGGAGATAATTTCTTTCTTTTTATTCTTAGACTTCGTTTTGAAAAGCGTTGCTTTAGTAGGTTCGATTCCCGGACCTGGCAAAATTTTATAGGGTTTATCTCAGAGGAAAAATAGCTTAAGTTACTCCTTATATAGACAGTTAACTGGTAGTAAAATATGATCAAAATCGGTCCCGCCGTTTTGAAGATTACCCAGAAAAAACAGACAGACAGACAAAAAAAAAAACTGGTTTTTAGGCATAAGTATCGAAATATCTGATATAATATCTGAGATATCTGATTGCTTAATGTGAGTTTATTTCCCATACAGTTTATACAGTTCGGTTCGTTAATACTAATTAGGTATTTCGTTTGTCTTGTGTACATTAAGATTAAATATATTTACGAATGCGGTTCTTACGAGAATCGCTGTCGGTACGTATATTCAATGTTCGGAGAACGCGTCTCTGTACAGCCACTTATCTATTACATAACATACATAATATTAAGATGGTCCCCCCCCCCCCCCCCCCCCAGCGCCACAGGAGGAAGCGCAAACGTCACGGCGCGCAGCCGGCCGCGCCGCCCCGCCCCCGCCCCCGCCCCCGCCCCGCGCACCGCCCACACCCGCACACGCCCCCGCCGCACACGCACAGGTAACATTGCTTCCTTTTATGTCACTAGATGGCGCTATATTAATGAGAACTTAAATTAAAACGCGATGTTAACATTGGTCTCAGGTGAATGGAATGACCTAGGCATTCTTTTTTAGTTAAAACATAACTTGATTTAAATACAGTTCAGTATCAGTTTTATGTTGAGTGAAGGAATAATGCCTAATGACCCTTTCTTCATCCGACCTCGGCTTACATTAAACGATCCTCCCTCAGTGTGAGTACTTCGCCCAAACCCAAGGAGAGCGGTGAGACTGCGAAGGTTGAGGCGAGCGATTCGGGCGTCATGGACTCGCCGCTCGTGGACGACAGCATCGAGCGCAGCTCCGCCAAGGAGGACTGGACCCCAGGTACTGACGATTTATCATACAAACTGTACTAATATATTAAATTTAACAGTAATTCTGTCTATCTGTTGCGGTGTCACGGCTAAATTGTTGAAAAGAACACCAAAGAAGTTAGAAGAAGAAGACAGTTACAGACGCGACCTTGGAACATGATATAGTCTAGTTTTAGCCGTAAATTTATATGGCAGAAATTCTACGCAGATTTAGGCATTATCCAATATAATGTTTATTTGTGGGACCTAAGAAGGATTAGAATGTATTTGTGACTTTTAAACTACAGGGGTGACGGTAATCACTTAACATCAACTGACTCGTCTGTTTCCTAATAACTACAGTACTCTTTAAGTTCCTAGTGAAGTACATGCCAGCCCGCCTGCACTAGGTCCCCTTTCGTAGCCTGAGCTTAGACCTGGTTCGTTTCGCAGGCGACAGCCGCTACCGGCGCAACAAGCAGCACCCGCAGCCCCCCCCCTCACCGCGCCCCCCACCCGCACGAGATCAGCCTCCTCACCGGGAACGGCGTGCACGTGCCACGCGCTCAAGGTACACTACCAGTCTCAGTGGGGGACAGTACCGTACAGGATACTGAATATAACACCTGATAGGAAATATCTGATCCATACTGAAGTGTTAGCACTAATGGTCTCCAGGTCCTCAAAATCTGATCAAACCATAAACAATTTCTTTTAGATATGATTAAAATCTCGAAACTTAAAACCAACTTGTAACTTTTGACTATACGGATGGTGTAGTGGTTTAAGCGGTCGCCACGCCACTTACTACTACGCTGAGTGTTGTGGCTTCGATCTCCACATGGGAAGGATGTGCCTAATGCGGAAGATGTCTTTTTAAAAAAAAAAATCATATACCGCCATCCAGGAGTGTCGCAAAAAGCTAATTCAGTTAGGATATAATTTGTTGCCATAAATTAATGAAATTATTCTATTGAAAAATAAATGTCTTAAACCATAATTACTAAATCAACTGTCCTGTTAATTTTCTTTTTTATAAAAAAAGAACTCCCGCACTAGGAATATATCATGTATCGCGGGGTACTTTACAAACATACATGAAATGAACACAAAGAACACCCAGACTCAGAACAACAATTTGTGGATCAAACCCACAACACTCAGTGTTCAACAACAGTAGCTAGCAGCGAGGTGACCGCTTAAATAACTACGCCATCTGTGCAGTACTTAAAAATAATTTAATAATAATAATTATAAACATATTTAGTGTAATTAACGTAAAATAACCGTTTTATAATGTTCTATTTCACTACCGTCTAACTGGTATTGACATTTCTTTCGCCCGAGGCTCAATACTAACACAGTCATTTGATTTCTATCAAATAATATCAGTTCTATTTGAAACCTCCTCAAAAAACCTCGCGTTATGTAACAAAAAAATTAAAATGTATTTTTTTAAGCAGAGAGTGATGGAGAGGCGCGGGGGCCAGGGATCAGCGCACACCGATCTACGCATCAGGATGACGTAAGTGCATTTGTTCACTGATATTGTATTTACTGACACATCTTGGTACGCCATCTAGCGAAGCGACATGGGAACTACATCGAACCAAATAATTCTAAATCGCACTATTGAAGTTTACACTGTGTTACTACTTAATCTTACTTCTGTTATAAATACAAGACAATTTTTGCTTCGCATTACTAATCTGTGAAACAAGTTATCGTCAGCGATATTTCCGGACCGATACAACCTTCAAGAAAAGAGCGTACCTCTCCCTAAAAGCCAGCAACGCGTTTGTGACTCCTGAGTTGGCTCAGTCACTTTCCATCAGGTGACCCTTCTGCTCGTCTGCCCCCTCTTCCATAAAAGAAATGCGGCAACTTTGATAGATCCTTGTCACTAAATCATGTATGATGAAATTTTATAAAGAAATAGATTATAATATAGAAAACACATTTGATACTATTTATCCTGAAAAAAAAGATTCATCAAATCGACATCAAAGCAAGCAAGGAAACGGGGAACACTAATCATATATATATAACTTGTTTAATTATAACTATAGTGAACATGTTGTATCTGCTTAAAGCACCACAACTGTCTAGAGTTGGGAGAGGCTGGTAATTTGTCATATAGGTCTACGAACCTAGTACAGATACCAGTATCTCACACAGACTCACTCAAAATAACCTAGATTAAAATTGTATATTGTAACCATATCTGTGTGAGAGAGAACAATAAAGAAAAAAAAAGAAAGAAAGAAAGAAAAAGAAAGAAAACATATTTTATTTCTAAGATACACGACAAACAATTTATATGAGGATAGTAAAAAAAATAATTAAAAAAATACATATGGCAACCCTGTGCTAAAAAACATGCTGTTAAAAATCTAAAATAATATTATTATTATAATTCGTTATAAGAAAATGGTGACGCATCGAACAAAGCCCTCATCATGACCAATCAGGTTCCAAGATTTCGTACGAAACAATAATCATCGATGCGTCACTATTTTCTTAAAGCGAATGAGCTATAAAATATGACAAAGTTCAGTATTTAAACTTTAACGACATCCAGGGTCAGAAGTCCAGCGGCGAGCGTGGAACTAACAACGCGATGCGCCGAACTGACGAAGCCGCTCCCGCTCCCGTGAAGCTCGTCATGAGATCCAACCTGACCTTCAACCTTGGCGACGAGTTCTTCTCGTGGAAGAATAAAGACACCGACAATATTGTGTAAGCATACACCCCTATATAGGTCTGAGTGACGCACCTGGTAGGGAACGGACCCATACTACGATAGGGCGGATAGAGAGCTTGGGTTTTCGTCACGTGACTACGTGAAGAAAGAAGAAACTGACAGACTGACTCACTGACAGTTGGCAACCGCTGGGTCTAGAAGCATGAAATTTTGCACAAATATTCCTTAGGTGACGGTGGGTGTGCACTAAGATAGGACTTTCAAAAATTGCACCCCTAAGGATGCAAAATAGGAGTTAAACATTTATATAAAACTTCGTTGTTTCCCACTCCCAGTAAATATTCTTTATCTATACTATAATATTATAAAGAGGGAAAGTTAGTGAGTTTGTATGTTCGGGTTAATCTAAGGAACAAACAAAAGGACACACAAACAAAAAGAGGGCGCGACGGTCCTCTAGTGAACTTCGACACCGTGCTCAAAATTGTTTTATAAATAGTAACTGTGTATTATTATAGGAATGTCTAGTATAACTGTGTGTAATAAGTGACGATTAAAACCATATAACGTTATCTTCTCAAAATATAAGTGATAAGTGGTAAAATAAACAACTGACTCGTAGTGTATAAAAACGCAAATAAATCAGTGAGATGGACCTAAAACTGTGGTAAAACCTATTAAGTGTGAAAAAATACTGACAGATCCAGGTTTTATCGAGGTTTTATCGAGTCTATTAAAAAACCAACTACTAAGTAGAAAGTGAAAAAATAAACCGTTAATTATCAATCTTTAAATTTACTACCCTACTATCATAACATAACAGAAAGGAGTATAGTGTCATCTGGTGACCATTTCAAGTGATACGAGGTAATAGACACCGAGTGACATATAACAGTAACGCGTGATCAGCGACGCACAATTATGAACGAAGTAGATAATGTCACAGTGAGACGCGCGCGAGCGCACTCAAACTCAGACTTGTATTTGGATGAAAGCTGCATCAATCGCACACTAGATGGCACTGTCTGCAGTATGCCGGATATGTCGGAGGATGAAGACACCGATTTAATTATTAAATTAAAGAAACAGATTGATGACCTTACTACTAAACTTTGTAGTGCAAATGGAGAGGTAGACTTATTAACTCTTGAAAATGATAAGCTGAGAAAGGAGAATGAAATTCTAACTCGAAAAAATTCACTTTACAAACAAATAGCATCTAGTCCAATACAGTCCCCAACCAATACGCCTAATAAAAAAAGAACAACAATATCAAAACAGGTAGGATGTAAAAATGTACAAACACAGACAAATTCAAATATAGATACTACAGAAAATGTGGCAAAAACCTGTGGAGAACAAAAAAATACGCATTCCAGTCCACAGATGGCGCCGCAAGTTGCGGTGAGACAAACGACTACACAAAGTCAACAAGTGCCCATTGCAAATAAAATTAAAAGTAACCTATGTATTTTGAGTTCTAACAAAACTAATAAGAATATATTAACTTTAGCAGAAGACTATTTTGGAGACAACTATCAGATATGCCACTACTTAACACCAAATGTTGGTATAAAACATCTTCTAAGAGATATAAAGACAAAACTAAAACATTACACGATGAATGATTTCTGTGTAATAATGGTAGGAGAGGAAGATTTTAAAACTACGAAATATTACTTCGATATAATTACTTACATGAGAAACGAATTACAGAATATTAAAAACACAAATATAATTATTACTCTGCCAATATACAAATTTAATAATAAGTATAATATGTTATATAATTCAAGATTAGAGACGTTCAACAACATGTTATATTTGGACATTATTACGCATCAACACGCATATATTCTGGACTCCAACTTGAACTTAAGTTATCACCATTCTATGTACACTAGCTATGGGGCCCTAAAGGACTACGGCATGAAAACTATATTTATTGACTTATATAATCTACAATTAAAAATTCTACAACAAAATACAACCAACAGCGATAATGAACTAAAGGAACAGCTTTTTCTCCAATAAATACATTAATATTCTACATCAAAATATTGCTGGCTTAATAAAAAAATCCAATGCTCTAACGGTATGTCTAAATGAAATGTTAGATAAAAATCTAAATGTGGATATTGTATGTATTACTGAGCATTTTATCATGGAAGGATATGAAAAACAATTATACATTCCGAATTACTGTTTAGCTGCACATTATAGTCGAAAGGAAATAAAAAGAGGAGGAGCATGTATTATTATTAAGAACTGTCACCAATGGAAGGAAATACCTCAAATATCTAAATTATCATCGCCAGGAGTCTTTGAGTGTTGTGCTGTTGAGCTTATTGATTATCAATTGATTGTCATATGTATTTATAGAGTACCTAATGCTAGAAATATAAATTATTGTTTTGATAAGCTTGAAAATGTATTGAAATATACTTGTAACACACGCACTAAGAATATTGTAATTGCGGGGGATTTTAACATCGATATGTTAAAAAAGAATAATCATTCTGTTGCACTGGAGTGTCTGCTACTAAGTTCGAACTTGAAACTTGCACTTAAACAACCAACACGAATAGCTAGCGGCACATGTATAGACAATTTCGCACATAACTTTAAAAAGACTTGTAAAACAGACGTACTAGAATTAGCTCTATCAGATCATACAGCACAGCTACTACAATGTCCATTACCCAATGTAGGTAATACTAAATACTGGTATATCACCAGAAGGGATTACAGTATTAAGAATAAAGAAAAATTCAAAAATAGTCTGAAAAATCTTACATTCGCGGAAATATATCTTATGGATGATCCAAATTTGGCTTATAATGAATTTGTAAACACACTTAAATTATTCTATGATTTATGCTTTCCTTTGAGAGAATTAAAAGTTAATATATTAAATAAACCTAAATGGCTGTCGCGTGGAGTAAAACTTTGCAGTAAGAAAAAGAGAAAACTTTTATGGCAATATAGACTGAAACCTAATAGTGATAATAAAAATACTTTTATTAAGTATTCTAAATTATACAATAAAATTATTAAATCGACACAAAAAATACAGAATGACTATAAAATACAACAATCGAAAAATAAATCAAGGGCCATATGGCACATAATAAACCAAACTAAATACAATATTCCCAAGCAACAAATAGAAAAACTTAAAGTTGGGAATCAAATTACATGCAAGCCCGTAGATATCGCTAACGCTTTCAATAACTTCTTTGTAGACAAAATACAACCGAAAATAAATGCTAAATATAAACCATCGGCATGTACGTCTACCACAAAACAGAAATCAATGTTCATGGCACCCAGTATACCATACGATATACATAAGATAATAATGTCTCTAAGAAACACAAGTAGTGTGGGTGATGATGGGATAGCCACTAGCATATTGAAATTAGCGTCAACTGAGATAAGCGGTCACCTAAGTTACATAATAAATCTTAGTATCAGTACGGGTATTTATCCCGATGCTTTGAAAATATCTATAATTAAACCGTTATTTAAAAAGGAGAATAAGGAGTTGATGGAAAATTATAGACCTATCTCTCTCATACCGGTTATCTCAAAGGTTTTTGAAAGATATATCTCCAATGAAATACATAAATATATTGAAAAAAATAACATACTGTGTGAGGAACAAAAAGGATTTAGGCAGCATAGAACCATTAATATGGCAATTTATGATTTTTTATATAGTATTACCAGTAGTGTCGATAAACGAAACCCCATTTGTGCTATCTTTTGTGACATGACGCAAGCGTTTGACTATGTACATTATAATACATTATTAAATAAATTAGAAGCCTACGGTATTAGAGGTAACGTGCTTGAACTTATAAAATCATATTTACAAGACAGAAGACAAATAACTGAAGTCAATCACATTGACGTAATTAATAAACACGAAGTTATATCGCGGTCAAAAGAACGTAAAATCGCATTTGGTGTACCACAGGGCAGCGTAATGGCCCCCTTACTATTTATATTATATATTAATGACATGCCAAAAGCTATTGAACAACCTCTGACTATGTTTGCTGATGATAGTACCATAACGATCCCTTGTAAAAGTGTGACAACGTATGAAATTGACATTAATAATTCTCTTGACTGTATAATAAGATGGCTAGACAAAAATAATTTAATTATAAATTTAAGCAAGACAAAGATAATGCACTTTAGACAACGTACGCCCGATGTACATAATCTTCATATACAGTACAAGGATAACATCATAAACAAGGCCAGTGATACGAAATTTTTAGGTCTACAAATAGATAACCGCTTAAACTGGAAAGCGCATATAGAGATTCTGTGCAAAAAATTGAATACATCGGCATATGCTTTACATAGACTATCCTCCATAGTAAACAATAAAGCACTTCTTACTGCTTATTACGGTATAGTGGAATCGCGCTTACGCTACGGCGTTATATTCTGGGGAAACTCGACTGATAAAGATGCAGCATTTAAGGCTCAAAAAAGATGCCTCCGATCAATGTTCAAACTTAAAACTACTGACAGTTGCAAACCATATTTCAAACAGTATAATGTTTTGACATTACCCTGTATTTATATTTTAGAAGTAGCTATATTTGTTAAGCGGAACCCGAGTCGTTTTGAACGTCTGGCTGATGTGATTCAAAGAAACAGGCGCGACAACAGCAAGTTACGTCACCAAAGTTGTCAAACCACGTTAATGCGTAAAAGTGTCTATTGTATGGCACCACTAATCTTTAATAAACTGCCGGGCGGGTGGAAAGAGTTGGAAACAGTTGTATTTAAGAGTAAGCTACGTAAATTTCTAGTAGATAAAACTTACTACAGTGTAACAGAATTTTTATCGGAAAAAATCTTTACTTAAGTGCCATGATTATGGATATATTATCTGGATGTCTAGTGTGGAGTTTGCAGTGTATGTTTTACTATTGTATCCATTAAACTTATAAAGTACATTAAGTCACAAGTAAAAAAGCTCCTCATTAAAAAAATGTTATTATAATGTATTGGACTTTATCTCTAACAATTTGTAGTGTCTTTCATTTATTTATTTTTTGTAATTATTTGTTTTTCTTCCTGACATTAATTTATTATTTTGACTATAGTTTGACTTTGAATGTTGACATTGCATGTATCACAATATAATTATAGTAATCAATGATGCTAATAATATACCTATAGGTTATTTTATGTTTAAATTATATGCAATTATAAATGTACAAATTGAAAATTTGCACACCCATAGTGGTAAAGCACAGTGAACCTTTTGTGAATGAATACCATGTAATTAATACCTGTGTTATGCAAATAAAAAATCTGAATCTGAATCTGAATCTGAACTACTGGTTCGATTTAAAAAAATCTTTTTGTGTTAGATAGCCCTTTTAACGAGAAACTATAGGCTATATCACATGATGCTACGACCAATAAGAGCCGGGTATCAATGAAAAATGTTTTTAAAACGGGGAAAATTTATTCCTTTTGAGAGAAACAAACTAAAATGCTCAAGTCAGCTCGTGTCATATATGGCAAATGATATATTATTAAAGACACATTTGAGCTAAGTTGTTCTTAAGTTTTGTTTGCAAAAAATATTTTAAACCATGTTTTTAATTACAACGTGAAGCCGAGAGGGATGAGGTCTTTTCATATATTACGGGCCACCGAGGGATTAGGGTGAGCAAGGTAAAAATTGAAAATAATTGGTCCCGTGGTATTGATCTTCAAGTACCTTTTTTTTTTACGTGTGGAAACCCCTTCGAGATGTTACCCGACCGGAGTTTGCGGCAGAATGGTGTGTCGGACTCGGACCGACTAAAACCACACGGTGTGCCACTCTGCGCCTGTAACAGGAGGGATCCGGGAACAGCTGTTGTTAAGACATCCGGACCCCTCCTAGCGCCAGCCACCACCTTCGGGTATATTCTCTATTTACGGCTACGCCCGCGTGTGCCGGACGTCGCCTACTCGCGGCTGACCGTTACGGCGGGTGGAGGGAAAAACTAATGAGGCGGTGGTAAGCGGGCCTGCGCCGCTCGGTTCGACGGCGACGGATTGAGTCAGAGTGGAGGTTGTCCTCCCGGGCCCTCTCCGCCGCCTCCTTCTGCGATACCCACTAAACCCCGCGGCAGCCTACCTTGGCAGTCGGGAGTAGCTCTAAGAACGCATCGGCGACTTCTGGAGTCCTCCCTGCCGTACACCATGTCTGAGGCACACCAAGTGACCGTAGTCAATCTGGGGCAGGAGGCTACCACGCCTCTCACTGCTCTACAGAGTAAAAGGCGCAACAGCGTCCCGCCTCAGACGATACCCCCCGGCCGCACTGGAGTGTCATCTGTCTCGGGTTGTTTACAGCGGTCACATCGCCCCAACATGTGGCCGCAGCGACCCTTAGGCGGCAATTGGGGGGTTAGCGACCCCTGCCGCGTCCCCTTCGCCAACTCCCGATCCCGCTCTGCGGCTTCCTTTTAGACAATAACGTCCTCGCAGAAGGAGACCGCGGCTGCCCATCCCTCGCCACTCGGTGACAGGTTTCTGCCTATGTGTCCAACCAAGACTCAACGTGCGGTCTCCTATGCAGGGCAGTGCTCACCGAAGCAACCGTGCCCGGTAAGCATCTGAGTCACTTGGTAGGTGACACAGTCGTTCCTCCCTACCCATGCTTCGAAGCACGGCAGAACGGCTCAAACGGCGCGTTGGCTAGCACAGCCCTGGATTACAAGCCGTGCCTGCCACGCCCGCAGAGCTCACCTTTCTGACCGACAGAACGAACTTGGCCATAGACCACCGCGTCCATGTCGGCCAGAATGTCGAAGGGTGGATATCGCGCCAGGACCGTCGCCGCCTCAAACGAGATCGTACGATAGCCCCGTACGACCCGTATGGCCATCAACCGACGCCCATCTAAGGACGGTAAACTTCATCCCGTGGTCCCCCGAGTTTGGGCAGCAGGCGATGCAGTGCACCCGCTACCCCGCGCACTCGGGGGACTAATCGCTGGAAATGCTTTTCGAAGCTCCACCGACTGTCCAGGATTCAACGTCACCCACCCGGAGGCATGAGCTGGGTGGTTCCTGGCGCTTACGCAGGTCATGGAACCATATCGCCTCAGTTTTCTGAGGCGCCACCGTCAGACCCAGCTCGAGCTTCACGTACCTATATAAATATATGTATGTTCGATTCCCACCCGGGACAAATATTGTGTGATAAGCGCGATCACTGCTATTATGTATGAATTTGTATGTTGCAGTCTGATTACCAAAGTACAGGCTTAGACTAGTTTGGGATCAGACAGCCGTGTGTGAGAGACAGACACACACAATTATTAGTCTTGGGTGGTAATCGGACCCATGACCTCTGGCCTAGCAGTGAAGGTCACTAACCACTAGAGCAATAGGCCAGTTAAAATGCTTGAATCCTTGGTCTATTGCGGATTAGGATTGCGAAGAAATATGAACGCCAAGGCCAACTCTCCTCTCTCTTTCAATAGTCCCTATCACACACCATTTGTTATTTCAGGAACGATTTTCTCGGAGAACTGACGATACCATCTAACGACACAGACAAACCACAACGGGGTCACGACGAGAGAAGCCACCAACACTATCAGCCCGCCGACACCCCACTACGAAACAGAGGTGACGATAACCAACCACGTCCCAACGACAACCAAGGTCGTGCTGATGACCCTCAAAGAGAGGAGTACAGACAAGACCATATTCGTTTAGATACTGAGGACAATCACGTCAGATCTGATCCTGGTATAGATGCTGGGAGAGAGAGTCAAGGGAATTACGGGCAGCAAACTTCCCCGGATGTGCAACAGGAAAATCAAAAAGATAACTTGGTGGATACCAGGAATGAGAGTGCTCCTCAGTCCTCCAGCTCCTCAGAAAGTAGTGGCGAATAACTCTGGTATCCTAAATCAGATGTGTAAATAGAAGCTATGTGTACCACTTTGCAGGTAATAATTGCGTGAACGAATTTAACGTTCTACAAAGCTTATCATACGAATTGTATTGGTAAGTGCAAGCAAATTTAGATTTTAAATGACATTCTTATTTTATATACGTACGTACGTATACACCTGTTTTTACTCCTAGAGTTAAGCCTTTGAAAATTTAAACATTTGTCTTTGCCGGCCATTTTTTATTAAGTAAAAGATATTTTTTTAACATTTAACCTATTTAGTTATCTACGTTACAACATTACTTCTGTGCTTAACCCTATGAGCATCGATGGGTGTGATGTTATGTAAAAAAAAATCTCCTATCAGCATATTCTATTTCTGTTTAATATTCTTTAATAGGTATTTTAAAACCCAAAGATATTTGTTACAATTAATTCATAGTATTACAATTAAAATATAGCAATATTATTAGAAAGCTCAATTATTTTAAAAAGAACGCCGACAACGTACTTCTTAACTCTTGAGTTAAAATATCCTTGAGCGTCGGTGGTCACTTACCATCACGTAGTCCGTCTACTGTACATGCTATGTGCTGGTTATAATGCTGATACTCGTATATACGTATCTATTTATTATACCTGGCCTGTTGGTCTAGTGGTTAGTGGCCCTGACTGCTAAACCAGAGGTCGTGGGTTCGATTCCCACCCAGGACCAGTATTGTGTGATGAGCACGGTCATTTGTTCTATGTCTGGGTGTAATTTATCTATAATATGTATCTATTTAAAAATATATAAATATGTTTATCAGCAGTCTGGTTACCATAGTACAGGCTCTGCCAAGTGTGGGATCAGACGGCCGTGTGTGAGATGTGTGAAGTTATTATTATTATTATTTTTATTATTTAAACTCTAAATAATCAACCTCGTATGTATATAAATCAAAATCTGAGTTACCAAACGAGTAACGCAGTATTATAGATGAAATACGTTACCGTTTTTTTTTAAATCATTATAACTTTGAATGGCGTAGTGGTGGTTGGAATGGTTCGATTCCCGCTCAAGTCAAGCATTTGTGTGCATGAACATTTAATGTTTGATTTGGTCTGGGTGTTTCTATGTATAATATGTATGTATTTACAAAAAAAAGAAGTATATATGTATTTATATCAGTTGTCTAGTACCCATAGTACAAGCTCTGCTTAGTTTGGGACTAGATGGCATTGTGTGAACGTGGTAGAATATTATATTATTATTATTATATTATTATTATAACTGTTTAATTTTTGTAGTATATAAATCACAAAATGATAAAGACGTAACGCACTGATAATTAAAATAAATATAATTAATTAAAAAAATATGTAAAGTACTTGTATGCGTAAGAAACTGTACCTATTCCTCATTCTTTATTATTCGTCCTTTAGGGGTGACATTTTAATTAGACCAAACAAAATATCGATTAATAAATGATACAGTTATGAGGTAACAAATTAAATAAAAAATCAACGATGTAACTTTCCTTTTGAAGTCGGTTTAAAATGGAGACCAGATTCGAAAGAAATATTGAGTTGTCACATATAATTATTGTTTATTTACTATTGTCATTCAATTGTTAATATTTACATAGTAAAGTTTATTTAATTCTTTAACCATTTCTTATAATAAGATGCATTTAAACTGTACTTATTTATTTAAATAATATTTCTTGATGCGTAACAACTTTCAACTCGCTGTCCGACAATCTGTGAGAGTGAGTTAGTAACAACGGGGACGAAAATGTGTTACAGGAAGCGGAAGAAAGCGCAATTTAATTTTCTCAATGAGTTGTCCGTCAGATGCTACAAATCATATACACTACTCTTACTAGGAAACGTACCCATACCTACTACGTGATACCGGAGAGAGAGGGGGTCTTCAAAACTTCAAAATCCAACACTTGTTCAAAGGGGCGGGGGGAAGGCTTAGGTTTTAAAATGATTTAAACCCATATTATAGTGAAAACTAGAGGGAAGGGTTGTCTTGACATATACTACTGGTGGTTATTTTGTGGATAAATATTTGTAAAAAATGGGTTACGTACAATGGGTACGTTCCCCTCCTGCGTATTTGAAATCTGATAAAAATGAAAAATCTTTGTGATTGTGGTGATTTTTTCAAGCGAAGTTGTTTTCAATCACACTGCAATATCAGTAGTATACATTTATGTAATAAAGTCGACACAGAATCAAAATAGCGTTCACAAAACAGTCCACAGATAGAATATTAATTTCAGTCGTAATTAGAAAGTATTCCACTGCGTTCCAAAGCAGTTGTTGAGCTCAATTGTAGCATAATATGTGTAGAAATTATAAGTATTAATGTTATTCCGTCCATTTTTAACCACAACTGTGTATTTAGCGGGATCTTGTTCACAAGAATGAACACTAATATTACATGGGCCTTCGAGCCGTATGAACTTCAAGCTCGAAGGCCCATGTACTTTGTACCATTTACTTGGTTCAGGTTTTCAGTGGTTGATTCTTGTGGATGAGTAATTTATTTGTTGTAAGTTGTAGTTATGGTTACAGTTGAAATTATGATTTGATTTGTTTTGTATTAATTTAGGTTAACGGACGTGGTGAGGAATTTCGTAAGACCTTCTTTGGTACTGGTGTAGGTATTTTTATTACTAAAATGTATGTATTTAAATCCAAAATAAACTTCTTCATAATAATATGTTAGAACCCACAGTACAAGTTACGCTGTATTTTTGTAAATGGAAAATATATGACAGAGTGGAATGGCATGCCATACTCTACCCAACGTGTTGGCCAACAAGTATTACATTGAATCTCCTCGCCGCGTCTATATGACTCGGGGACCAAATTGTATCATATATATATATACATATGTATATATTTATAAATGGTTATATTAAATGTTGTAATTATGTTTTATTTTGTAAGTTTGTAACTTAAGTTTAAATGTTCCTCGTATACTGAACCAGTGCCGAACCACAAACCATATAACTTATTTTTTCATAGAAACATTTGAGTTAATTCTAAACCACTACGGTCGCAAAAAAACATATGTACGAGTACTTCGTACGGTTTGCCTACTGGACTAAAGTTCGTTAAGACTGCACTCCACCTGTTTCACGTCCGTAAGGAGTCGAGGGGAAGGGAGGGGGGGATTTAGAGGTTTCTACTGTCGACACAGTATTTCTTATCGCAATAAAGTTCATATTTAAGGCAGGTATTTATGTTTTAAAATCATGCCGCAGAACATTTATTATTGTAAAGCATGGTGTCAGTGGTGTTGGCACTGCTCAGTGTAGTACCTGTTTGTGGTGTTAGCAAAGATATTTTTGTATAAAAACTTGTGCATTTTCTTTTGTTGTTTCATTTACGACATGTTTCCCGCTCAATCCGGACATCCTGATATCGAGAGTCTATGTAATAAAAATAACCATAAATCGGCTTATGACAGCATAACATGGGGCTCTCCTAACTTGCGCCACAGCGAAACAACAGAATAAGCCCCCACCCCCTCCTCCCTCTCCTAATTCTGTGGAAGGGGATGGGGGTTACTGAAAAACGCGGCAGGAGTTACAGGGGTCCATGGGCGGAATACAATCAGGCGACCTGTCAGGCTATTATAGGCTGTTTGATGATGACCTGTCAGGAGCTTGATTGTTATACCATAATTAAGTAAGTATCTTGGGTACTTATTAGCAATATCCGTCATCATCATAATCATCATCAACAACAACCTTTACTAGTCCACTGTTGGACATAGGCGTCTTCTTAGAAAGAAGGTTTTAGCGTACTATACCACGCCGGCCAGACGTGTTGGTATACTGCACTGGTTTGCCGTTTCTCGTATCACCTCGGCTTGAGAGCACCTCCCTAACTGCCGCAGCCAATATCGGAATACTAGGCATCGACATATCGAGCTAGGTCCAGTTTCGGGGTCACTTAGAGGGTAAGGTCAAATTGGCCTCGAAGAAGCTCGGTGTACTGAACAGAGCGAGGCAGTATTTCACTCCGGCCCACCGCCTTCAGCTCTATAAGGCGCAAGTCCGGTCGCATATGGAATACTGTTCTTATCTCTATGCAGGGGCACCCTAGTACCAGCTTCTCCCTCTGGACCGCATCCAACGAAAAGCGACTCGAATAGTCGATAGCCAAAATATCTCCGATCGGCTCGATCCTTTGGCGTTACGTAGAAATGTATATAATATATCATGAAGAGGGAATTGTTCCGACTAATACCAGATGCAACTTCTTACCGGCCGCAAATAGTCAATATGACGGTCCCGCCTAAATACACCTCATCTTGTCTATGGATTGTTATTTTTAAATCTGGATACCACACAATATGTGTTATATTTGACAAAACAAAGATTGTTGTTATTTTGTGTTGATTTTTGATTTAAGAGTCTACATAAAAGACGATTTGAAATAATTTTATGAAATAAAGATAGTTTGAGTTTAAATAAACACTAATAGTGATTCAACTCCTTTGATAGACCCCTAAATCTGTCCGATCTGCAAGACTCTCTGCCCTTTTTTTTAATCTCTGCGAAACGAAATATGAATTATAGAGAAATTGGTTAAAATAGTAAAAACTTAGAGCACAGGGCTATGAATTCCTTAAACGAGAATTAAAACTGTTAGGATTAAGTAACTTGGGCCCTCAATCCAGACGCATGCATAAAGTGGCGTAATCTAAATCTCAGAAAGTACTATCTCTGGGTCAATAATTTTTAGTTAAGATTTTCTTAAATATTTTAAGTAAATCCCAAATATGTAGAATATATTATTACAGATTTATGGCGCGGTATTTCTAGGTCCCACAATTCATTAATGTCTTAACTGAGGAATCTGCAAAACATGAATTTATCTCAAGGAATACGTAAATACGGCTTTAATATACTTGATTTAAATACCTCTGTGACTTAATTAAATAGAAATGACACAAAAGTTAGTTTTTACCCAAAATTAGAATAAGTTTTTTTA